TCCCACAGAGGGGATCAGTGTATTTTTAGACTGTCCAAATCCAATCCCTCAAAAATGAAGCTAATTTGTGATGATTAATGCATAATTTTAGTCAAATTTGCTCATAATGCTAGACAAAGGCAGTCAAACCCCAGAAAGCACATCTTTACTCACACTAAAATCTTCTCCACACCTTTTATTCAATATAAGGCCAAAAGTATGTGAACAACACAGCAGTCCAGCCACATGTCAGAGCTGAACATGTCTTTCTAAAAACTACTGACTTCCTGTTTCAGCAGCCTCATCTCTTCTGGTTTCAGACTGTCCTCAGATGTTGTTAACTAGCTGCAGAGTGTACTCACACTCAGTCACAAGAGCGCTAATGATGTCTAACACTGATTGATGGTCGGGTTAAGAGGAATGGTTCAGGTTAGGTCATGTGACATGACATAGAGCTCCAAGAACACTGTTGTCTCGAGAAGTCATTTCTAAATTGGAACTTCTGTTATGTTCTGATAGAAACCACAACTTTGTATTGTGATAAATATGAAGTTAGTTAAAGGTACAGTGATATTGAACTTTTTATGTTAACATGGGAGCAGGTCCCCTTCCCCAGATCGCCATTTTGCACCACCATGTTGAAGTAGCACATGTACAGTCTACATTATACTGAAATTTTCCAGATAGCTGATATGCTGATATTTTTAAACTAATTACCTGTTTCGAAACCAATAATAAACAGTCCTTTTTGCAGTGTAAAGAATACTAAGCTTTTCCTGTAACAGAGTTAACCCGATACACTTAATAAGAAACTGACACAAAACAAATAACGTTTAATTTCACCATAAATTCATTCTTTTTTAAATATTAACACTTGGTAATGTGTCTGCTGTCTGTAAATAACACTTCAGTTCATAAAAGGATGGTATTCTATTCATATATGTTTATCTGTTATTATAATGTCCCTTTTTTCTGTCAGTAATGATATTTGCTGTTGAATTTTCATACCTGCCGAAACAATAATGACCTTTTAAAGCTTTTATCTGCTGGTACCAGTTCTATGCAGACAATACTGTGCATCCTTAGTAGACATTTGACAAATGTAGGATCATTCTTAGCATGGCTTACAGGAGCTTCTTGTCCTCCGGGACCAGCAAGGGATCTTGTAATTAAGAATGTGACTGCTAGACTGCTTAACATTCCCATTTCCACACACTGTCCCTTGAAAAAACAGTACACCAAAATAGCTAACAATACCTGTAGCACCTTAAAGTCACTCACCTTTTTTTCTTAAAGGCATGGTTGACTTTGTGTAAACTTGACTCTTGCTAAGTGTTCCAGTTCAGTCTTGGATGCATCTTCATAAAAGCTCTTTCTTGATAGAAGAGATTTTGGTTTGGTAAACCCAGCTGTTTCTGGACCTGTGTTTCTCAAAGTGGAGTCCAGGGACCACCAGGGGGCCCCTGAGGAGTGCATCCAGTGAGTTTGCACTCATCAAAATGAAAAGTTGATGACAGTTGTCTCTGCCTCAGATCAGGCCAGCACCAACAGTTATCTCAAATGAGGTCCACTGAGGTTTCTCCCTACAGGTCCGTCCTCATCTTTTCATCCACCAAGCATGGACAGTATATCTCGGGTCCTTGATTGTAGGAATGCTCGGTTCTACCTCCAGATTCTACTCCAAAATAAAAGTCCTGTGGTTTGAAGAATTTCAGACCACAGACGAGTAGTAATGATTGACTCCCTGCTGCTCACAACAGCCTCTCACAGGCAGACAGGTCCCTCTGAACCGAAGTTAGGCAGGTGGACACCATGATTGGAGAAACACAGTGTAGAGAAATTGGTCTGGTGTCCCATGGCAGGGAGGAGATACAGGGTCAGAGGGCAGGCCTCAGTTACCTCTTTTAGTTCCATCCAATGTCACACACAGCCCGTGTGCTGTGACAGTGCTGGGTTGATCCCCTTTCTGAAGAGCTGGTCCACATCATGAGTCCTGCATGACGGTACATGGAGCTTCTTAGACCTGCCTGCAAGTCGATGCGCAGGGAAGAGGGTGCATCGAAAGGCAAAATTGATGTTGAGTTAAAAAAAAGAAATGTCAGATTTCCACGCTTTGTCTCCTGTCGGCTTACACCACTCCAGAGTTTGAGTCAGGAGGTTGTGACTTAAGGGGAGACATGTGTGTACTCCCCATGAAGCGGGTAACGACACTTCATGGCGTTAAAGTCATTTTACGCTGCCTGTTTACGCTGATAAATAAAAACATGCATGTCAAACATCCGAAAGCTAGCATTCATGCAAAATCATCATCCAGCAGCAGCGGTGCCATATGAAGTGATGCTCCCTCAGTGCGATCCCTGGCTGGAGAAAAATGCCTGCCTGCCAAATGTGAGAGAAAACGCATGGCTCTCAAACACTCCATGCATTTTCAAAATCCGTGAACGGTGACCGATAATCCTCCGGAAAACCCTCCTGATAAAGTGCAGCACTGCCCTCCATCTGCCACATCTCTTTATGATTTAACCAGCTACTGTACTGGAACGTTAGCCATATGAACTGACAGCATAACCAACATTGTAATGCCACCGACAAGTTAGACGCAGGGATAGACACAACTTCCTTTTAAAGCTTTCAAAATAAAAGAGCTGTAATATAGCAAGTTAAGTTCTATATGGGAAGAACGACTGCAGTAAAAAAATAAAAATAAAAAATCGTGTATACTTGTACATTTGTCGGTACAATTTTCAATGGGGTAAATAGCATTGAGTTAAAATATCTCAATTTTTAAATTTCCAGCCACTTACAAAACCATAAAATAACAACAAAACTGACTTAAAACTGTGCTTTATTTATGTACAATAATAATATTACTAATAATAATAATAATAATAATAACAATAATAATAATAATAATTACTATACATATAGCACCTTTTCAAAACAAACATTGAATCGAAACTGCACTTTACATTTTAAATTTCCTTTTATCATTTTATTTTTTTTACAATAATAATTACAATAATAATACATTTAATAATAATAATAATAATAATAATAATAATAATAATAATAATAATAATAATTATAATTATAATAAATTAATTTACATAGCGCCTTTCAAAACAAAAGTTTTTTAAGTCCTTTCATTGGCAAAGGAGCATTATAACCGCAGAGCAGAGATATATTATAAGTGAAGGGCATAAAAGGGCATAATAAAAAAGCAAAATACTACAATAATAACATTGATTCACTGTTAAAATCTCAGAAAATTTGCAGTAACAAGTCGAGTGCTTTTATTTTGGTCTGTCTTCAGGGCACATTCTCGTGAACTTGACGCACCTGTTTAACTTACCTTAGCAACGCAGAGGCTGGCGGCTGGTTGCTGGTTCCCATATAGATTGACAGAAATCAGGGACCAATGTAAAAGGGGGTTTCTTGTCGCATCAGAGCAGGTGAACCAATCAGAAAGCTCAAGACCATCGCTGAGGTGAGAGTTGAAATGTTGATATATAGACTATTGATGATACATTACAGTAAACGGAGGTTACAACAGGAAGGAAGCAGAGAAGGATCGAGAATTATTATTATTATTATTATTATTATTATTATTATTATAAGTAGTTGTAGTATTGGTATTTCTTGGTGTTTGTTAGTGGAGTAATCTATGGGGTGTTGTCATTGTCTCTGATCTGTAAAAAGGATAAGGATATGAAAATGTTAAGTTTATTTCCTTTTAACTGTTTTTAAAGGATTGTGTTTAAAGATCTCTCTGTGGCTCTTCGTTTTCTCTAATTTCTCTCCATGAATTCTTTCAGTTGATTTTTTCTTACAGTTTTTCCTAATCCAAACAGCCTTTACAATTAAAGGCTTTATTGTGATGTCATGCAGAGTCCAACGTAGTAGTTTCTGTTAAAGAAAATAAAACTAAGCAGACTTTACCGGACTTGATGATCGAGTCAGGACTGTGATTATTCTGCCAAGACTTGTCAATTGTGGCCAAACAGCAGACTCTAGTGGTCACCAAAGACATGAAAACATCCAATATCACTGCAGCTGAGAGGACTCAAACTATTGAAAATAATAGCACCTAAAAAGAATGGATGGATAGAGATTGCACAGAATAGCAAAGTTTTGGTAGCTTTTAAATTTTCATTTTATAAACAGGTGTTTTGTTTTTTTGTTTTGTTTGTGAATATCTGGTTTGAAATTTTTAATGTGGCTGAGAGAGCATTTTCAAGACTAGAGCGATGAATTATTGTTGCCTACATCTCCACAAGACTACAAGGAATAGATCAGACTGTCATTGTTCAGAGATGCCCCAGTCATTCACTTTTATACAGTGTGAGCCTCCACTTCCATTAAGAGAAAAAAACAATACCCCACCCTGACTACTGCCCCACTACTAAAGACAGCAGCGGGTCATCCTTGAGAGACACAACACGTCCACGCCCTGCACTGTTGAACAGAACAAGCTGTCAGGGTCGTCTGTGAGACGAATTTGCCTACAGAGGTGACTGATGGTAAACCCACTTATCAAAATATGCCCATCAGTAGGATGTTCATGAGCTGTTGCTCAACAGTATGATTTGTGATGATTACCATCAGTAGCATGTCAAAATTAGATCCACCCTGCAAGTTGCATAACAAAAAGCGAATTTGAAAACATGCTCCTGTCAGCATCCTGCTTTGGTCATTTAGGTGTGAAGTATTGAATCAGTGTTGCCAAACAACTGAACTTGATATAACCAGGTTTAGTAGTTTGACACATTTATATATCAATGGAGCAAATATTCACTTTCCATTGGTCTTCATTTAAGTGCTGAGTTTTCTAAAAAGAATGAAACACATCTAAAGCATTCAGAGAATGACTAAATAGGTGAATTATTACCCTGTTTATTGAAGCTAGCATTGCACATTGCAGTGATTACAAAAACATGAACAACATTGTATATAATCAGTAGTGCTCAGATTAAATCTGCTGATCTTAAAATGTTGTATTTTTATAGCTAATATTTATCTTTTGTCATTAATACACATTCAACCTTTCTACATAGCACACCAAACACTTGGTTTAGTCTTCACTGAAGTGCTGTGTGCATGGATTTATCACACGTTGATCATTAGATGCACACATATTGTTCATGTAGCTCGCTGATTACACTCACCGTGTTAAATAATAAGTGCAGCATTTACCACTCAGCACCACACATCCATATGTACATGTGCGCACTGATAAATTTTCCATCCGTAAACCTGCACACTTTCTTCAGTCTCACTTCGACATGCTCGTCTCCATCCGTTAACCTGCACACTTTCTTCAGTCTCACTTCGACATGCTTTTCGCCATCACCAACATTCTCAAAGGTAAAACATCCTCCACCCATTCTCCATCAGCCAGTAACATCCTCTGCCATAAATTTGCTTCATCTGCTGTTGAATCCATCCAAGGCACGTCCACTCCGTAACTCTTCCCTGCACAGAAAGGCATCGACATGACTTGGTCAGGCTTTAGGTGAACAAACAAACGAGGAGTCAGGGAGGGAAAAAACTAAGTTCAGTCCATCAAGATGGTAAAGCAGCAAAAGAAAGCATGCATGATGGCAGATTATTATGGATATTTCTATTATAGGTGAATTAGCTTTGATGAATACAGTTTTAAGTTTATTATCTAGTGAAATTGCGCTGATAAGTATGCAGCTTTTACATGCAGTTTTTTTTCTGCAAACTTTTGGTTTCTTTTTAAAATTCCTAAAATCAGAGCAGCACTTGAGTGAAAGAAGAGACTCTAACTGAGAACATCCTGAGTTTCCTTTCAGTGAAGGAAGCTACCTGAGCAAGTTGTAATTTGTAGAGGAATGTATTTGAACTCAAAGGAAACCTAATGTGCTGATTTGTATTGTGATAGATAACTTTTAATGTTACAGTGTCGGATGTCCTTAGGAAACCTTGGCAAAGTTTCATGATATCAGATACATAAGAACATGAGATCCATTGATGTTGGTGTCTATGTGGTTTCCAGATTCTCTGAACAGCTTGCGAATGTGTCCTGAACCTGATGTCAAGATCTGCCCAACTGGAACAATGTTGAAGGCACGCCCACCCAGCAGCTCAAGGAAATGTTTTTGGTTGTGGTGGAAAATAGCTACTATTTTCTCTTCCAGCAAACAAAGGCACCAGAAAACTGTGAAGTTTTTATTCCTTTAGGACATTAACAGCCATTTCAGAGCTGTCACTTTCCTGAGGTCTCAATTGTAAACAAAGGCAAGTCCTAACTAGATTTGCACCCCAGCTGTTACTGAAACCCAGAGCTGTTCCAACTCAGAACCACATCACAACAGCTGTCAATGTAACAGTACCTATCTTAAGATGGAGCGCTGGCCTGGGTGCCTTAGGTGCTGTTTTCTAAAAGGCATAACTTTTGGTTGATTTTATGACTTTAGAGCGGTGTAAAAAGTAACACCTACAGGCTGTGTCTAACTTTATATCACTTGAAATTGTCTAACTTTATATCATTTGAAATGAGTCAAAACTTCTTTGAGCTCTTGGATACCAGAGAAAATGACTTGAAATCAGACTACAGTTAAAGGAGCGTTACAAAGTTACAGTGGAGTGGACTCTGACCTGTCCCTTGCCCAAGCCTCACACCACCAATGTAGTGGTTGTTCAGTCGATCGTGATCCCACACAGTAATCTCCACACAGGTCTCTCTCAGGTCCTCTGGTCTGAAGCCGTCGTACACCATGGTGTGGTTAAACATTGGGTTTACCGTCCTCTTCACAACTCGTGTCTTCTGTCTACTTTTCCTGCTCGTGTCAGGGAGTACGGTGCTGCAGCAGATGCAGAGAGAGAGAGAAAAACATGTCACAAGTTGTATTAACCAAACGAAAACTTGTTTAGGTTCAGTCTTACACCAAAATGTTAAACAGAATACTTTAAAAGACCAAATCATTGAGATATAGATGAAATATGACACGTTATCGTAAGGTTAAGATACAACCTAATATATCTACAATAAAACTTTGTGTTCAGCTTTTGATCACGCTAAGAAAAATTGGTTCTAGTCATTTCAAATTTCTTTCTACCAGTGTTTGGGTTTAAACTAGTGGTTGGCAAATATCAGTTTTACAAAACTTATGCAGAAAACAAGAAAGCAGGTCAACTACTGTTGATATATAAAGTAATGCCAAAACCACATTTAGGAATTTTATAAAGGACATCATTTTTAATTTAGGATTTTCAAATCTTCTCATTTTTTCAAATACTGCCACACATTAAAACTCAAATATAAAGGTTGTCAATCTTGTTGCTGATTGTCTCATATGCTTTTGTAGATCATATAAAGGCATCAATATGAATTTCAGTCTATTTCATAATCATCAAAAAGTCCTCACTGGTGCTTTAATGTCATAAGTAATGTCTAACTGCATTACACACACATCTTAACAGAATTGATTCATAACACTATTATGCTGTTTTGGATTTTACATAATTTCATTTAGGATTAAAAAACCCAAGTTATTGTTAGTAAAGGATGACAGTCACAGTTGAAATTTAGGCTAACGTTTAAAGCAGAGCACATGAAAAGGATCAGTAGCAGAACATCCTACCATTTCACAAAGGGGTCGATTACAACTCCTCTGACTGACGGTAAGTTCTTGCAGTCTTTAACCCAAATCTGCACTTCACTGGTTTCCATCTTGGACGTGCCCTGACCTGTGGATGCAGTCAGAACATAAACACTGATAAACCTAAAATAACAGGATTTATTTTTAAACTGGAGGTAACAGCTCACTGTGGGACGTCTGTGGCAAGAATCTCAGGGCGACTCTCATCTGTCCTCGGCCGTCCATCAGATGTGTGGGAGTCGGTGACGAAGTTTGTGCCAACGGCTAAAGAATTAGTGATAGGTAAATGTCTTATAAATCAATTTGTACGATACACACATGCTGTGTAAAGTGACTGCACCCTTACCCTGGCTTTCAAAGCGTATTCATTTAAATGTGTGTTTCTGAAGTCCCACTCTGAAAGATCCAGGTCCACATCACCCAGGAAACTGTTTCGCCCAAAAGTGTCATTGTGCCACACTGAGACGTTCAAATTCTGAGTTTTTAGGACCTCCATTTGGATTTTGTACTATAAAAGAAAAAGGAGGCAATGAAGATGTTTGTAAAAGATGGACAACAAATGATGAGAGCTCTGTAAAGACTTAACATGGCGCTCTCACCCTGAGGATTTCATTGTAGTCAGGGCTTAGGGTCTTCTTTTTTACAGCAGTTTTTCTCTTTCCCAGTTTTGTTTTGTCAGGAAGAAGGTAACACTTCACATACCTGAAAACAGAAAGCAGTGTAACTTTCTTCATTTGATCTAAAACATAAGATGCGGTTTCATACTTAATATTAAAATGAACTTTTTTACAAACGTGTTTTATATTTCATTTTTTCCAGTCTTCCAGTCTCCTAGTTTCAATATTTATATCTTAAATGCCAAGTGTCAAATATATGGCAGGTGTTTACGGGTCTGAGCGGTTCTTCTTGGCGTCTGCCACAGCCAGATCCCTGCAGTGCACCACAAAGATGTGAAACTCTCCAAGCTTCTGGACGTAGTTCAAAGCAAACTGGATGCTTCCCTGGACTTCAATGTCGCCAAAGTCTGAAGGGTAAATGCTGCTGGTGCTGCCGCTGATCTGCTCGTTCATAATGGTACAGGAAGAGAGAACCCCGGGTTAAAATTGGTTACAGAGAGGGGTACTGACGATGAAAAAGAGGACGAGGTATCACTCAACATTTATTTACAAACTAGATATCGATTCTGTCCTCTTCAGTATAAAACTGCAAAGAAGTTGGGGTTTGTCATCTATAGGACAAGATATCCTGAAAAGACTCAGAGAACCTAAAGAAATCTCTGCACAACAGGGACAAAGCCAAAAAAATCAACATTGGATGGCTGTGATCTACATAAAAAACAGACAAGACTGCAGTGGAAGTTACAGCATGTGCTCAAAACCACATAAAAAAATCTTTGTCTGTGATATGAACTGAACCATAACAAAAAAGGACCATGTACAAATTTGATCCCCAACCACTTGTGACTTCTTTAAATAAGAAGCCCTTTTAAATTAACCCTCTTTTTTGGAAATCATGGATATGCGTCTGTCACTCTAAAAGAGAGAGGAATGACTCAGCTTGTAACCCCCTTATTTCTGAACACTTCAACTAAGATACAGAGTAACATTTGTTGCTATCCAGACGACAGCTTTTTCAGGGTAGACATCACATATTTCAGCAGGACAATGCCAAACCCCATTCCCAACATGCTAAAATGCTAAAAGTAGCCCGCCTGATATCTGATGAGCTGAGTGCGAACTTACTGATGACATGGAGGCCAACCCTGAGGAAAGACTTAGGTTGGACATGGAGCTGCCTGTGTTTATTCTTCCTCTCAAATTGGTCTCAAAAGGGCCGTCACTGTCAGTCTGAGAAAAATGGAAGTGTGAGAACAAGGGATACACCCACAAAGCTCAATCACAGATTAAATGACTAAAGCCACTCATCCATACAAATACAGTATTCTTCTGCAGTCTGATAAGTTGCTGATAGAAGTATCGTTTTTCTGAAAGCAGCAGGGATAATAAAAGTTGGAACGATTTACCTCATCCTGCTGCAGAAGAGGCACTGACGCACTGCTTTGCAACAGATTCAAGTCTGCTGACGATGGGAGTGAAGAAACTAGAATGAAAATGTGACAATGGTTTTATTAAAGACAAAGCAAAACAGGTTTATTTATGAAGCACCATTCATACAAAGAGTCATTCAAGATAAAAACAAAACAGTTACATTAACACTTTTAAAAGATGTGATTTCAGGCAAACTTAGGCATCAACATGAAATATATTGTAAAATAAAGGAGGAGGAAAGAACGAAAGAAGACATGAAAATTAAAAACAAATTTTAAAATTTATATTAGAAAATAATATCTAATAAGAGAACTAAATTCATGTCCAGGTGCAGTCTATGTAAAAAAAATCTCCACGTTTACCGTCCTCCACACTCTGATAAGTTGGCTCTTTTGAGATATCCATGGAGCTATCGTTTCCTACAGAAAAACAGTACCAGGTAATGGTATAATTTATGAACAACTAATAAAAATGTCAATATATCATGTCAATTAGGTGATGAATCATGACTGAACAGGACCTCTGTTACCTGATTTTGAAGTGAGGTTTTCCAGACTTTTGGACGAAGCCTTTAACTTAGCAGATAATCGTTTTAGAGGTGCCATAATGGATCTAGGAGTCTCCTCACAACCTGCCACAAGTGATAGTCATACTCAGCTCAGAAAAAAAATAGACAACAAAAATCTTATTTACAGTTTCTATAACGTGACACAAGCTTTAAGAGTCTATTGAAGTAAAAAGAAAAATTCTAGCTGTTAGCAAAGACTGTACACTGATACTCTGCTGTTAAAACCTGATGAAAAACTGAGTTAAATGTATAGAGATGAGACAGTTGATGTTGAGAGTAGGAAAAGATGCTATGTTAAAGCACAGCTATGCAATTTTTTATATAAACAGCACAGCAGTTACAATGATAGAAGGGGTAGTATAGCTAATATAGTAGCTATAGCTAATATAAGCTAGACTGGAGATTATCAGTTTATCAGTTTATCATCTTTCACACCTTAAACAAACCGCATCAGGGTTCACTTGGAAGCAAACCAAGACCCATGTTCCTAAGGAGACCAGAGTTTACTCATTTGGGCCACACCAGAGTCTGTTTGAGCTTTCACTCCACTCCCCATGAACTGGATTATCCAGGGAAAGACCAGGGTTCGTTTAAAGTGGACTAAACAGCTCTGGTGTGAGTGCAACCCAAATCCTCATTAAGGCACAAATGAAATGCTTTGCACACAGGTAAATCTGATCTCAACCTTAAAAAAAGATTAAATGGTCAAATGAAAAAAGGCCAGGTGGGCCATGACAGAGAGCGGCCATCTCTGAGTGAAATGGTCCAAGGTAATGAAAAGTAGAAGGCAGGAAGATGTGGAAAGAAGAAAGCAAGGAGAGTAAGACATGAATGGTAAAAAAGTGAAAATTAATATTACACCCCAGAGAGGATCTTGACTATGCAACACACCTCCACCTCAGCACCTGCTTTTGAAACTACATCTGATTTTAACATGTCGTATTTATTGTCATTAATGCCTATTATGCTACCTAGGGCATCTTTGCTGCTGCTCTCCCTGCCTTGACACATGAAATGGTAAGGAGGTGAGGTGTGCTCTCCCTGCCTCAGTCTTTGACATTTTAGGTAAGCACCATAGACTGTATAATAACTGGACGTAAGAATTTGTTGGTCACAAACCAATGGTTGCCACAATGGTAATGCTAACTCAACCTAACTTTTGGTCAAGCTATCAGAGGTGGGCCTTTTAGCCTCCTCACAAATAGTGCTGGTAATTAAGCTAATAAAGCACCTCTGTATTAGCTTAATTTTACAAGAATGGATGTTGCTGTTTGGGAAGCAAATAGAAAGGCTCTCAGAGTCATATCACCAAACAGAAGTATTGGCCAAAAATAGTTATGTTTTCGATATATTTGGTCTTAAAAGGAGTTTTTAAGGATCTGAAAGTAATTCTTCTAACCAACAGTTTCCTTTTTTATATGGACTGCCTTTTCATACTCTCCTAATCCAACACTCTGTCATGTAACTCTGCAGACCTGTTATGATTTCTATCTTATATGTTAAATTCTATCTTTCATTGTTTTTTCTGGGTTTTTATCTTACAGTTTATTGTGTAACTTTTCCAGACAACGCTACGCTGCTGCTATGCTTCAAACATACTCTCAATAGGCGAGGATGTGCACCAGAGATGGGAATTGTGGAGTCACCAAGTCATCTCCATGCCATGTATTTGTTCTGCTCTGTCACTGAACCAGCTGCTTCCAATGAGCAGCCAGGAAGGTGAGCTCATTAGTGAAGGCACCTGGTTCAGTAACTGAGCAGAACAAATACATGGCATGGAGATGACTTGGTGACTCCACAATTCCCATCTCTAATGTGCACCTTCAGTTGGAGCTAACACATAAAGACCGGTCCATACAGACATGCATCCTATAGGTTTTCATTGTAAATCATGTTTTTTATATTCCTGAGACTGTTACTCAAAGTGATTGTTAGGTGAGGTTTTCATTCAGTCTGGATGCCCCTCATGGGCATGATTCAATTACTTGTACAGTACATTGGCATCTCAAGGTGCCTTGCTGTTCAATAGGCTGCTGATGTAATTGGTCTATATTTTTAATTATTGGTATAAACATGAAATATTGGATATGAAATCTATGTTCACTGGTCCAACTTTTGATTTGAGTGTTTGCTTGAAGAATATCTTTATACAAGCCCAAAGGTTTTTTTTTATTTTTTATCATATTTTCATATTTTCCTGTCATTGTACTTTTGTTCCTCTTGAAAAAATCTCTATGTGTAAAAAAAAAAAAACATTTAAAAAATATGTCTTGAACTCTATACTGCAATTCTCAGGTCATTATTTCAAGAAATATCAATGTAGAAAGAATTCTAAAGCTCACTGCCTAAACTTGCTCGGGACAAGGATTGGGTACGGGTCGTTATGTCTTGGCTGGAGTTTCCGACTTTGTTTTGCAAAGTGAAGAAGCTCTTTTTAGGACTGTCCTTTGGACTAGAGTTTCTGGAGGACTTCTGTGGACTTCTGAACACGTCACTCTCTTGAGTAAAAGGGGGGACATAGGCCTTCTCCTGTGGTCCAAGGTAGTGCTGATAATCCTGAGAGATGACAGATCTGGCAAGGCGTGGGAGGCTGCTAGCCTTCTTCTCTGGGGTGGTCTTAGGTTGTGGTTGAGGGGGCTGTGAACGGCTTTGTTGGGTATTCACATCACCATCACTCTCGCTTGGCTTAGTTTCTGTCAGCACCATCTGCTTTGCCTGATGAGTGGGACTCTTCCTCTCTCTTGGCATTGGTATGGGCTTTCCTTGAGGCTCTTCACTATTCTTGGTTTGGGGGCCAATGTTTATTGGGAATGTTTTTAATGGAGAACCATCCAGCCTGGGACTGTTTGGACTAGAAGGTTCCCTTGGTAGGACCCTTGGGTGGCAAGTCTTTGATGGACTCCATTTGGTTTCTTCATCTTGGTCTTTTGCTTTTTGACTCTGGGGTTTTCCAGGACTTAGAGGCCTTTTGAGGGCGCCTGAATCCGCCTCATCTCTGATCTGGTGATATGATGATGGTGCAACCTCAGGACTCTTTAGCTGTGACCTGTCTGGCCACTTACTGCTAGACGACTTTGATGGACTCATCTGGGTTTCTGTGTCTTGGTCTTTTGCTCTTTGACTTTGGCATTTTCTAGGACTGAGGGGCCATTTGAGGACTTCTGCATCTGCCTTGTCTCTCCTCCGGTGGCTTGATGATGGTGAAACCACAGGACTCTTTAACTGTGACCGGTCCATAAACTGGCTGCTAGGCATTTTTAATGGACTCCTCCTGGTTTCTTCCTCTTGGTCCTTTGCACTCTGACTTTGGGATTTTCTGGGACTGACGGGCCATTTGAGGACCTCAGTAGAAGGCCCTTCTCTACTCTGGTGGCATGGTGATGATAAATCAGGACTCTTCAGCTGGGATCTGTCGAGCCACTGACTGCTGGATGTCTTTGATGGACTCCTCCTTGATTCTTCATCTTGGTCTTTTGCTCTTGGAGTAAGGGACTTCCTGGGACTGTGGGGCCATTTGGAGACTTCTGTATCAGTCTCATCTCTAATTTGGTTGTATGGTAATGCAACCTCGGGACTCTTCAGCTGTGACATGTCTGGACACTGACTGACAAAACCTTTGTTTGACACATTTACTGATTTTAAGACTGAGTTGGGTTTTGTTTTACAGGGTGATGTTAGTCCCCCTGCCTCAGATTTCTCTTTGCTGCTGGTGATTGTTTGTGGATGTGACTGAGGGGAAAGAGGGGAATGAGTTTTGTCTCGAAGAGAAGACCTACTTGGGGCATGTGCAGCAGCTTCCTTAGATTTTATGAATTCCTTCTCCCAAAAGTTCTTTAGATCGCTTATCTTTGCCCGTCTTTCCTCTTGAGGAGTAGGACTGGGCTGCCTGGGAGTTGGATCTGGACTAGTTTCCTCCGGTTTCTGGCTGTTGACAGGTTTATAGGAAGGTTTAGGTGGGATGATGATTTCCTTTGTCTCAGAAATCTCTGGCTCTCTCATGTAACTTGTCAAAATGTCATCTGCCTCTTCATAGATGACGACGGGGTTGGCTCGATATGTGCAGTCGTCTTCAGAAAAAATAACTGACCGGCTTATGTCAGTCTGTGGTGAAGGCTTCTTTTCTTGGGATGTGCCAGCAGTATATTGAATTTTCATTTCCATTTGAGGTGGGAGATTATTGCTTCTGCTCTTCACATCTCTGTTAGTCTGAGGGTCAAGGGTTTCTTCTGTTCCCGTCTTTTTTGCGTCTTTGAGCCCTGCCTCTTCTCTTGCAACAACTCTTTTGGGAGCACCTTTTTCTTTATTCACGTAAGTTTTCAGGTTGGATGTTCTCTCTGGATGTTGGACAACGATGTTGGTATCCACTGGGGTCACTGTCTCTTTAAAAGGAGTGTTCTGCATCGCTGTAAGTTGGAGCGTTCTCACCTCTGGCAGCTCAGAGGATTTAGCTTGCTGTTGGACACTTGCATGATTTTCTAAGGTGGCATCTGCAGCACATTTAGAGGTAACATGGTTGGTGTCCAGGTCTTGAACCTTAGATATATTATCTTCTTCTTTCTCTGGAGTCTGGTTATCCTTCTCTTTTTCTTCATGCAGTCTTTGTTCAGGCTGTGAGGACTCAGATTCTGAGGTGGCATCAACAGAGATGTCTGTAGTCGTAGTTTGGGAGCCGAGGCCGTCTTCAGGAGCTGTCTCCAGGTGGATAGAGTTGTCTGACTCCTGCTCAGCACAAGAGAGTTGAGGTGGAGGGCTAAGAAACCCCAAATAACTGCGCCCAGAGACATCTGGAAAGACAACAACCACATACTAAATCACATATACAATGTACCTATGAACAATACTCAGTATTATCAGAGATTTGTGTTTTTAAGTGTATAACTATCATATGAAGTGGAGTATTGCTTTATAAAGGCTGTGGATTGTGGCTAGGGTGACTATATAGTATTGCTTCTTTAAATCTCCTATCAGCATGTCACAGTCACTATGAGAAGGATTAAAAAAACTTGACTCAATGTATTATTCTTTATAATATGTGGATCTCTGCATCTATATCCTGCTTTCAAATCAACCCTCCCTCTTATTTAACGACTGTGTGTCCAGCCCTCTACCAGCAGCTCTGACACCTGCATGAACAGGTGAAAAGACAGCTGGAGAAGACAGAACTGTTGGAGCAACACAAATCTTTATAAATTTTAATAATTAAAATAACGCCACACTCATAAAGACTCTTTTCACTAGAGTGCCAACATTCAGAACTAAAAATCTTGTAAAGTCTCTTGCAGTGACATGTCATTTGATAGTAAACAAACATGGCCGACTACTGGTGCTAAATGTTGCTAGCTCTGCTTGGCTTCCTGGTACTTTCACTTAAGTGGTAATGTCTTAACAATTCCTCCTCCTTCACAGTCAGTTTGCTTTCCGTTTAGCTGTCAATGTAAACATCGAACATGTTTATCATGAACAATTTCAGGTCCAGGAGGCTCCAAATTTTCCTCCACGCAAATCAGATAGTAGAAAAATCCCTCTTAACATGCCAGAGGACAATATCAGCATGATTATATTATAGTATGTGCCTCACTTAAAACTCACTGAAGGCTAAAGCTATCATGGTATCCATCACCAGATTTATCTGTAAAGATTCAATCATACAGTGTGGGTGAATATCTTGATTTACACTTAATAACCAAAGCTTTTGAGCAAAGATACAGCATATCAGGCCTCCTACACCTCTCAAAAGAAAGCAAAACTGCAGTGAATGAAAAGTTGAAATGATGTAAAGTGGTCACTTCTTGAGCTGAATGAGTGGCTATCATGATAAACAACTTTCTTTTGTAGACAGCCCTTGTGTATATATCCATGTCCCATAGGAATGTGTACATGAATATTTGTCAGCAGTTATTCAGTTGAATGTTTTGTCAGTTAAATGAATTTAGGAATTTTAGATAAAACTCTTACCATCTGTTAAGAAGATGATAGCCTCATTTTTGCTGTTACGTTCCTCTTCCTGGGAAATCACCTGGTTTCCTGGGGACAGTCCATGTGTGTCCTCACTAACACTGCCCCTAATGCCAGTGTTATTTTTGTCCTCAGGGGGTGCGATGAAGTCAACATCCAACAGACTGTGTTCCCCCAGCTCCCTCCCATCTTGTAGATCCAGTCCGCCTCGACTGACCATAGAGCTGAACCTCACCTGCTTCCTGTCTATCCAGGTCTCAGAGGGATAATCCAGGCTGTCTGGACTCGGTAGTTCCAGACAAGCAAACAAGGAGTTTGTGGAGCTAGAAGGTGACAAGTGCTTGAGGATGCTACGTGGAGCAGATGAGATAGTATGCCTACCCCCTGGCCCGTCTATATGAGACAGGCAGTCGTCACACGATGATAAAGGCTCTAAAAGACACAAGAACAAACATCAGTTTTACTAAAATTACAAAGTTGTGTGTTTTGGTCATAAAGCCTGATCACAATGTTTTAGGTAAAGGTAAAGTCTGTAGAAATGGGAATAAAAGCGAAATCTATCAGTCAGATTCCAGATTGATGCTCCCTTGCCCCCTTTATGTCATTTTTTTACCTTAAAAATGTCTTTCTTTTGACAAGACAAACACTTTTGACAAATTTATGACTTAAACACTTCACCCTAAAACCCAAATGCCGTAAATTTGCCTATCTAATGCCACTCTATGAAAGTGGCATTGCAAGCTGGTGGATATAAAAGGCTAAAGTTGTTTTATTAACTCCCTTTGTTTTCTATGAGTCTTCTTTTTACTCTACTCATAACACTTCACATGTAACCTCCAACCAGTCAAGTGGACTTAAAGGAATATTTCAGTATTTTGAAGTATCATTGGAAGAGTTACAGTACATGTCAACAGTAAGAATACGAGCCACAATGGAAGTCAGCTCTGCCCCTATAATGAAAATCCGCTTGTAAAAACAGAGTGCTTGGTTTGCTGCAGCTTTCTGCAGACAGGGCTGACTCTAATTCAACTAATTTTAACAATATTCAAGTTCACACTCTGACTCTTCTGAGGAATTTTTCAGGCTTGACATGCTGTTTACTGCGGACACACAGAGACAGTATTACACACTGAAGTTTGCAGATGTTGAACAGATCTAAATGAACCAGAGGAAAAAAAGGAGATAGAGACTTCAATGCAAACTGGAGAGCAGGAGAGATCACAAGCTACTTGGTGGTACAGGTGTGGAGACTATGAGCTAATGTCTACAAACTGAGGAAATCCAGGAGTTTAATGAGAAAAACAGAAAAGCTGAAAGAGTGTCGCTAAAGTAAGTGTTGGGCTCTTTCTGGTTTTTATAGCATAATGACAACTCCTGTGGTCAACACAACATGTTTACATTAACAAAATATATCATATGTCCTGCTGAAGAGGAAGGCTGAGATGAAATAACAAACTCTACACAGATTATTATGTCTGCGAGGTGAACTTTGGACATTTTGTGCTATAAGCTCCTGTGAGGAGCTTTTTTGTGTAAGTTTGTGCAAAACCTGTGGACAAAGGGGGAGCTCTTACATCCTTACTGGTTTTCTCCTGCACCTGTGTAAGTAACATTTACCAGTAAAAGGTTCCTTTTAACAGTTAAATGTGTAATTCATTGTGAATATTTGCTCTCGAATAAAGCTTATACCTCAGAGAGCTTTGAGTACACCTACTCTCTCACAGCAGTTACAGAAATTAAAATTTATCTCAGAATTATCATAATCATTACAGGCCTGAATAGCTAATCACTCCTCATAGGGGGTCAGCAAATAAATCTAGAACAAATGGGCTTTCTGGTGGCAAAGTAAAGCACTAATAAATGTCTCATTTTAACTGAGATGAGATGTTAGGTCACAGTCTCTCAAATTTAGTGACTTCACATAGCAAAGTTGGCCCTGTCTGTCCAAAACAGTGACATCCCTTATGTCCTTTTTCTACTGGTGTTTTCTCATTAAAGGAGCCGAGCAGACCAGCATCCATTGTTACTATTACACGTACTAATTACATGCAACACATACAATCCCACTTCAAAAACACTGAAATATCCCTTCAACACGCTCGGTTGAGAACCCCTGAGATTACAGCTTACTTAAAAAGGAATAATTCAAGCTTACGCTATCTGAGTCAAGTACTACAGTAACAACCGATTAAATACAGATGCATGCCAATGAACTTCATAATAACATACAGAATAAAAGTCAGTTTGGCTGCAGAATTAATAAAAGAAATGAAGCTTTTGCACCTTTTCAGCATAATGAGAAATAGTTATTTCAATATCAGTAAGTTCTGAGGACTGTCAGAAAAATTGTTGTATTCAGTGTTATTGAGTTTTTAAGATGCTCATTTGACAAAAGCTTTTAGCGTTAACATGCATGTTGATATATAGATATATAACCGTTTTTATTATGGATGACATATAGAACTGAGTGAGCAGCAGTCAGTTCTTAAAAACACCACCTGTTGTTTCTGTTGTTTCCTTCTAGCGTTATAATGTCTGCCACAAAAACACTGTTTTTGTAGTTCCTGAAATATTTCTTGCAGCCTTAAGTCATGCAGTACAGATTAGGCTGTGGAATGTATTTCTGTTTAATCCTCTGGCTAGTCTGGCAGCTCTGTGTGTTTGGACTTCCTTTCACTTTGACAACTTCTGGGAAACTCTGAGGCCTGTGCACACCGGCTCATTGAACAGAGACTTGAGACAGAAAAAAACTCAGAAATATGAAGCAACGGAAATCCTTGAGATGTGTGTTTGTTTGACAAACACTAATACTGAGAATCTGTTCATGGAGTTAAATCAGTTCCTTTCTTTGTAACACTGTGTGAAAATGCTTTTTTCTTATTTTGCAGACTTATTAGGGTGATGGAGTTGTTAGAAATGACGAGTAGGAACATGCTTTCCATGACCATGCAACCACCGCTGCCAGCATGCTGTTCACAGGAAGGGTAGAAACAGCTGAAGCATGAAGCACCCACACACCTGGACGTCGGAGTGACAGAACCAGACTTACATTGGTTTGTAAAGTCCATCCTAACTGTGTCCATGATGTGTCCATCATACTTGCACGGTTCCAGACATAACGCACAATAAATCATTAGATCACAATGAAAAGAATAACAGTAAATCTGTTAATCAGCACCAATCAGCAGGACACTCACCCTCGTTTTCTGTCAGGCCTTGATCCACTGCTTCATCCACTTCCTCTGAGGTGTAACTTTCAATCACATCAGCATCAAACGGGTTTATTCTTGCCTTTAACAAAAAGAGATGGATAAATTCAATACCTGCTGCTGCCTAGTGCTTGATTTCACAATCAACTTGAGATTTCATAGAGTCTCACCTTTGTAGGTGACTGTAAAACCAGTGCAGGTTCATGTTCTGGTGTATGAGGAGGGCTGTGGTTTTCACACCTTTCACTTCACAGATTACAAGACAAGTTCAGAGTTTTATCAGAACTTTTATGGTTTGTCAAAAAACAACAAGTCCTGATTCTTGGCTAGACATACTTTGCTCATAAATATATATGGAAGTACAAAATTATGTTGTTATGTTATATTTTCATCCAGCACATGGTGTCAATACCACTACACTATCATTCATTCAACGTTTTGTATTTTTAAAACAGGCGGTGTGATCCTCATTGCTCAGGCTAAGGAACGTGAATGACATTTATGAGTGTGATCACTCCTCAGGGTGTTCAGGCGAAAACATGAACATGTGAGACCTGACCTTATAAGAAGATTATAAGGAACTATGGGGGCCAATTACTAAGTATCTATTTTCCATGTGCACGACTCCACTGGCAAGAAATTACATCCAAATAATCTACTCTGCTGGTGCATCATGTGATGTTGCTCCAATCAGACAACACAGACCATACATTTGTGTACTCTGAATGTTTACATACTTAAAGATCTAAGCTGCAGGAGGTGATTTCTGTGTTTGTCATGAACAGTAATAATGTCTGAACCGCCAAATGTGGTTAAAGAGTCTCATCAAACCCGACTACAGCTATTTCACATATAAAAATACATTTATAAATGTTTGATGCTCATTTTGCTTACTTACCTTTCATTGTCCAGCTCTACAGGAGGCTCCTGAAGGACTCCGCGGAGCACAGGTGGGACATACACTTCTTTATTCTCACTGTTGACAAAACTTGGCCTCTCTGGTTGGGAATGGGAGAGCTCCACTGCAGCATACAACAAAGCTACTGATAGACATGTTTACTATTTATCATAACTCTCACTGTACTGTGGCTGTAATGTTAATCAGCTGACACAAACAAACATCTGAATAGAGGATCGATAACCATGTCTAAAGTTCTCATGGCCTAAAAGATTTAACTGTATTGAAACAGTAGAGTAGAGCAGAGAGAGGTTCAGTCTATCACAAGTGAACATATGGACAGGTTAATCACTGTGTGAGAGACTGTGTGAGCAAATAGTTCAACAATTTCAGAATAATGTTCATCCGTGAAATATTTACAATAAATGATCTGCAAATTTTAGAGATTTTGGAGGACTCTCTGGGCAAAAGGGCCAAGGTTGATAACTGATACTGGATAAACATGACTCTGTAGTGGAAATCACTGCATAGACTCAAAATCACTTGTAAAAACAGTTGTCTGAAAAGAAAGTTTGTTGCTGCCCCCACAAATTCAAGTTAAAGCTTTGCTGTAGAAAGATGAAACCAGATATAAACACAACCAGCGATCTCTAAGAGCTGAAACTGTCCTGAACCATGTCCAGAAATAAAGAAAGAAAGAAAGAAAGAAAGAAAGAAAGAAAGAAAGAAAGAAAGAAAGAAATTAACATTCTTTTTGAAATCATGGACGCCACTTCACTCTAAAAAGAGAGGTACCAATCAGCTTGTGATCAGCAAACAGTTTCCTTTTGATGGGAGACCTTGCATGCTACAGCAGGAAGATGTCAAACCACATTTTGCACATATTATAACAGCATGGCTCTGTGGTTAGAAGACTCATGATGCTAAAGTGGTCTGCATGCAGTCTCCACTTTTCAGTTTCAACATCTGATATGGTGTTTTTGCATTTTTTTTTCAATTGAACATAGAAATTTTAATAACATGCAAACCATCAAATTCAGTTTTTGAGAACATTTTACACATTATCCTAAAATTTTTTGAAAACAGGCGTGTAGTTCATGATTAAAAGAACTTTGCAATTCTGTTCATGGAGGGAAAAGATGTTTGTCTTTTAATGTTGAAGGTATTCAAATCAAAACTACAGGATACTGCAGACTCACGTATGGTCAGGGGTTTCTGTGTGTGTTTCATGGAGGCCCTGATGATGTCAGAGCCATGGATGCGATCCTGATGGCGGAGCTGCTTGGTCTCGTAAAACCATTCTCCAGTCATGTACTTGAGCTGGTCCTTGTTATTAAAGGTTTTCTGGAGTTTCCTGAAAGCACACACACACACAAGACAGAGTGAATGCATCTTCACTGCTTCATCATTTATCACGCTCAAATTCTCTATAACTGTTGTGCAACATTTCCATGACGATTCAGATCATCTCTTGTTTCCTTACACTTTCTACATTATCTCCTCAGTCACAGTAAAGGCAGAGGGTTTTATAATTTGTCAGTGCCTGTATACAGATGTGTTAAAACATTACAAAAGGAACTCACTGGACTCTCTTTTCCTCGGCCTTCTTCAGCTCGGCATCTCTCCTCAGCACTGCCAGGATGCTCTGCTGCTCCTCCTCAGTCAGAAAGCTCAGGTCGATCATGGTGGCTGCTGCTGCTGCTTGTTCTCTGCTGTAAGTATTTGTCTAAAGGTTTAACATGATACCTGCTTTACACAGTTGTGTTTGAGTTGTGCTCTATCCATGAATTAAAACAGTCATATTAAGACAGTTGATAATGAGTTTCCTCCTCCAGGGCTCTGCTGCTTTGGCTTTAGTTGAGGGTTTTTTCTGCAACCATGAATCTGAAAGAAAACAACATAAGTTCAGAGGTCCACTATTCAGAGATTCACTGGAGAAAGTTCACTTCAACAAGCTGTGACTAAGATGATTAGTTTAGTGGCAACATTGAAACAAAATCTAGGCTAATTAACCAACAACAATGCCGATTAAGATTTAGGTTTTCAGGAGTGTTTCGAGCAACGGCGCTCAAAGTTTACATTTCCACAAAGGGAGTGTGTGTCCTACTGTCTGGCTCTAAGCTGTTGTTTTTACATCATGAGCAAAAATTAAAAAAAAAAAACTATAAATTATACATTTGGCAAACTGTAAGGTAAACCTTTTTCAAATATTTGAGTTGTAGGCTGAACTTCTTAGCGTGAATAGATCATCGAAATAACTTTTATCCATCTTTATTCAAGTCTGTAATATCATCTTTTCTCTGCTGGTGCAGAAAAAAATCAGTCCGAACAATATTGTAACAGAAAAGTATCATTGGCAGAGATGAGATAGAAAAATGATAGGAAGACTCTTTTTCAGTGGAAAAAGTTGAAAAGTCAAGAATTAAGTTGATATGAAGTTGTCAAAATGCTGGCAGAAAGTCGTGATACTATTTTAAGGTGAAAAAAAGTTCTCTGTGTTGGTTAACTCATGAATGAAAATATTACATGATCAACATACATGGTTAGCATGTAGAAATAATACATGCCATCTTCTCATCTGCTCACGCTCTCTCATCCAACAGAGTGTTTAGGTTACACTAGCAAAAGATGCTAGCTTTGCAGATATCATCTTAAATATCAGTATCAAACATGAGAAATACAAGTTGGCTTATTTGGTCTTCCTCATATTTTGACTAGTTTAAAATGTGTAAACTGTGCAGCTGGCTAAGATACAGCAGCTCCTCCAATGTTTGCTAACACTATCTGTGTACGGTGAATCCCATTAGCAGAGACAGAAGAACTACACAAACTTTGTGTCAGCTGTGATCATTTATACATCTCACTATCTATCAGACTGAAGCTGTTTGCAATCTTATATTCAAATGTCCAAGTTTTTAGTCTTTTACAACTTCAAATGTTACTCAACTATTTGTTGATGCCGTCTCTCACACAGTGGTGAACTTCCTCCTATCTTTACTGCTGAGAGTCTCGGCAGCTTTAATGCTTTTTTTCGTACTCAGTCATGTTTCTAACCTGTTGAAAGTGAACCCTAACATGTAGGGAGATGTTGAAGAATGTGTTCTTTAGCACCACAAATCTTTTTCAGTGTTTTGTCATCCTTGTCCCATCATTTTTGAAACATGTTGCCAACATCTTTTTTAAAAATTAGTATATATAAATCATTAAATTGCTAAGTTTTGACTTCTGAGAGGTATTTTGCACTATTATCGATTTGATATAGGCTCTAAACAATTACATAGCTCTTTAAAATGTTGTCTTGATAAATATTTTACTCAGCGTCCCAGCTAATATGAGTTGAGGTTGTACCTTTCAACCTCTGATTAGGACAAAGTTGATTTTCTTTTCTAAGGATAATAGGATTTCACAGCTAGTCTCCTGGCATTTCTTTTTTCTTTTCACCTTTTTGAGCGCATGACAACATTTCTTAGGAACAACAACCAGAAACAAAAATAATCCAAAAGCTGGTGGTAGTGGCGAGAAAAATGTGTTCAAATGGTTCAAAAACTGTCTTTTTATATGTCTCTCACTGAATTTGCGGGTCAAAGATGAGTAACAGACTGACTGTAAAAATGACTCAGACTCTGCTACACTGAACCTGACTGAGTTGAATTCATGGCAATCATCAATGAGAGGAGTCATGTTCTGGAGCGTGTTCAGGCACAGGGCCGCAGTAGGGCAGCTTGATTCAGGAGATTTCACAGCAGCTGGAAAAAATCAGCTCCTCTGTCCTGACATGACATGCTCTCAAACTGAACTCACTCAAAACATCGCTTCTGTCTCACCCCCCTTTGACTGACTAACATGTTTATCCTTACAAAATCAGACAATCTATCACTGCACCAAACTTGCTACACCAGGTGAAGGATTTATGACCGTTCTGAGGTTTGTGAACTGTTTGTGAACAACATCGCTTTTTTAGCAAATCACAACTCCAGAAATGGTAACACTTTTCCTTTAAGAGAAGACTGATATTTTTTTTCTTCTGAGGAATTTCTGCATGTTCAAACAATGTCCATGTTCACCATCAAACACATTAAACACATGAAACACATCAAGCACCGCTGTGGTGATTTAACTTGATAATTCTGAGGCTCCTTCAGGGGGAAAAAAGCTATTTGACATTAAATTTAGCTTATTCGTGCTTATATATTCTCTCTAAACAATCATCCAGCACCTTTTTTCTACCTTGAAAAAATTAATGGTGATGTAACTAAGTTTCAGAAAATTGTGGCTGCACTTGCTGCTATTGTTTGTTCATGATTTGAGTTAGGAAAGATATAATCCCATCTTATTCTCCAGGACAAAGCTGGATAAAGCTGAGCTTTTAGGGGCCCTGAGTTGTGGTCTTTTTTCTTACACTTTAAGATAATTCAAGATAACATCATATAAGGAAAATACATTTCTTTTTCTTTGTTGTTGCTGAAGGAATGCCACTGGTCCTGCTTCTCTTAGAGGAAGCATCTGAGGGATTGTAGACTTGTTTCCTTGACGTTGAAGCAAGGATTTATCTTATTTCCTTATTATGCAGACTTCTCTTACATGAGGGAACTGAAGGTTTAACAATCTGTATTTCTTTGTTTCACAAATACATCCAAAAATGAATACAATAACCTGTAAGTGCAGTACATACAGATTCTGAGAGAGAAAAAAAGCTGATCAAGCATTTATATAGACTCTAAACATACAATATAAAGAAGTTTTTCACCCTCAAGACTGTGCAGTTATGATCTAAACTAAGTGATATCTTCAGCAGTTCTTCTAGATGTTGATGTGTCTCAGAGGTCCTTAATGATTTATTTTCTTTGTATGGGTTTTCTGACCATTGCAGTGATTATTTTAATTATTTTAAACTTCCCTTATCTTTATGTTTCTACACTTTCAAAGTCAAAGTTGTTTTTTTTTCACCATGCTCTTGGTAAAAACTGAGTTATCTGAGTTTAACTGGATTTGAACAAAACTTCCTGTAGATTTTATGATTTGTGATGACTATAAGATACCCACACTGTTTCTTCTGCAGGGGAAAATATCACACAGAGCAAACACAAAAACTGACTCATTTAAGATTAAAGCATTGTGGTTTGGTTCCTTTCAAAGTTAATCAAATATACTAAGTTTTGACCTGACATTGACTAACAGGGTTTCTAAAATGACGTTAAAGCACGTTGCTTTGTTTGCAATCAGCTGTCAAACTATAACAACAGTGTTTTTTTCACTAAGATCACAGAATGATTGAGTGTTGATTTACTTTGATTTGAATTAATGTTTTCACAAGATCACCTAGGCTCTAAATCAGCACTATCTAACAACAACATGCAGAAGATTTCATCAAGAAATAAGAGTATAGAGATCTGAACTCTGAAAAAGTCCACTTACCTCTCCCTGTTGATCCTCGCTGAGTGAGACCTGAAGTACGACTGGCTGCTGAGCTGCTGGAGGTGGGAGGAGCTGCAGACACACAGCAGCAGGGGGCAGCAGAGAGACGCTAAAGAGTCTACCAGAGCAGAGTCCTCTCTGACATGGAAGTTATGTAGAATTTTCATCAAAAACTGATTTTAAAGTTTGGCAAATCATCCAAAGTCTAATTTAATAAAAGATAATGTAAAGAGGAAATTTCAGCTGTTGATTATTGAAAAAAAGTTTTATAAATATTTATGCCAAGTTTACTTATCTCAACTAATGACTCAGTTAGCATGACTAGAAATCAAAAATGTATCCCAGAGAGAAACAACAAGGAACCTTCATGCTGTGAGGAAAACCACCGGGCAGCCTATTTGGAGTCCATTTTATCATTAGGAGATCCAGAGAATCAGGAAAAATCTCTACACATAAGGGAGATGGCCAAAAACCAAGACTGCATGATTGATCTTCATGCCCTCTTGTTGTGCTGCCCTAACAACTATACATGACTCTGTAGTGGAAATCACTGCATGGGTTTAAAATTGGATTTGAAAGTTTTGTCAGTGAACACAGTTTGCCACTGCCTCCACAAATTAGATTAAACTGAACACTGCAAAGAGGACACTGTATAATGATATGATCCAGAAATGCTGCCAACGTCTCTGGACCCGAGACAATTTGAGATGGACTTAAGTGAAGTGAGGAAACTGTCTTGTTGTCTGATAAATCACAATTTTAAGTTGTTGTTATTGTTGTTGTTTTTAAATCCTGGATGCTAAGACCTCTACTCCAGAGAGGAGAGGCATAATCCAGCTTGTCATTAGCACACAGTTGAAGAGCCAGCGTCTGTGATGGTATGGAGATGCAAACAGTTAGCACCCATGTTATGTGTGGCTTACACAGATTTGAGGGCTTCATTGATAAATATATACAGGTTTCAGAGCAGCATGCTGCCATCCAGACAATTTCTCTTTATTTAAAGGAGACCTGGTTTATTTCAGCGAGGTAATGCCAAACAACTTTCCTCCTGTGTAACAACAGCATGGCTCTGTAGTAGAAGAGTGTCGGTGCTTAACTGGCACCAATCCACACCACAGGAACTGGTATGCTGGGCTCTAACAAAATAAAAGCTCCTGTGGGGTCTGTGTCATTCTGGCACAAAGCTGTCTTTGCTTACCTTGTCCTGTACATGCTGAAGATGTAACTTTTGAGCAAAAATCTCTTCCTACTGACACTGGACAGTCTAATGTTTCATTTATTGTGGATATTTAAAATACAAATAGTAATAGTTTCTTAAGCTGCTTGGTTGTAACTACCCTTTGCACCAGTTTCATGCATTAAAAATTATAATATGAAAATCACCAATCTTGTTGCTGATTGTCTTGTTTGCTTTTGGCAATGTAAATGTAAATGTTCTTTATTTATACAGCCGTTTACAACAATCCTTTCGGTGAACCAAAGTGCTTTACAATAGATAATAAAAATGAATAAATCAAAGCAATAAAAAGCAATAAAAACAATAAAAGCAAAAACAGCAATAAAATAAGATACAATTCAATAAAATAAAGCGTCACCGCGCTACTGGGTATTAAAAGTCAGCATAAATAAATCTGTTTTCGATCGAGATTTGGAAAGGCCCAGGTCGGAAATAAGTGTAATTTTGGTGGTAAGCTTATTCCAGAGCCTGAGACCAACAACTGAAAAGGCTCAGTCACCCCAGTGTTTGTGTTTTGATCTGTGTTTTGACCTCAGAGTTCTACCCGGCTCCCAAACGGTTAAAAGCTCAGTTGAATAGATGGGGGCAAGGCGGTTTAAAGCTTTAAAAACAAACATTAAAAGTTTAAAATCAATCCTATAAGAGACGGGAAGCCAATGAAGGGAGCTAAGGACAGGAGTGATGTGCTCACGTCTGTTAGTGTTGGTTAAAAGATGGGCAGCAGCATTTTGCGCAAGTTGAAGGCGACTTGGACATGATTGGGAAATGCCAACATAAAGAGATAGGCATGATTCTGACTTTCAGTCTATTTCAAAAACGTTAAAAAAAAAACCTGTAAGGCGCTTTAAAATGAGCATTAGTGATTGAAATATTAAATTGCATTTTAAATATTTCACACATTATTTCAACTCTTGATTAAGCTGTTCAATAAGCAGAGTATCTTAATTAAACTGAAGCTGTGATTTGGGGCTGCACAGTTGTAAATTTAATGCACTGTGTCAGACTACATGGAGAATGATCATATTATGGGACACCGCTTCACTTTTCCCAACTGTTCCTATCAAAGACCGTTTAGACAGTCTAAGGTTCTTATACATAAATTAGAGACCCTAACAGTTATCTTACCTTATAACTGTCGTGACTTTTCCTGCTCTTATAATGTTCATGATGGAAGCACACATGGAAAAGCCTCCTGTCGTAATGTTGTAACAAGCTGAAGACCACAAGGTGGCAGAAGAGCTCAAATTTTTATACAGACTGTATGCACCTGTACTCTTAGATGCACTGGTTGCAAAATCTTAATTAGTTTGCTTTTTAAATTATTTTTTATTCTTATTCTTTTTATATTACACACCATTTATCAAAGTTATAAAATAATTTAGACATGGCTGTCCTTTTAAAAAATAAAAAATAAAAAAAAACTTAAAATATGGCCTGCTCTGTCTTCATTCTGGTTCATGGCTGCTCTATGAGGGTTTCATGTGGACACGGTGGTCTGGGATGGACTTGAACTCCTAGTCAGAGGAATCACCCCACTCTGACCCTGTATAGGTCTCTTTGCATCTTTGGTCACTAAGTGTAGCCTTTCTTACCTTCAAGTGTGTTCAGGCTTTTTGGTGAACAGGAAGAAAAAAGCACGACCTGCAACCAAGGACAAGACAGGCTATGTGAATTTCATACAGAATCACATCGACTCAGAAGGTCCATGTAGCATCTGGAGGATACAGAAACAGATTAATCTTTGCACCTCGGGACATTTTAGTGCCGTGTGGAGGTTGTTTGATCCTCCAAATGCTGTTTGAGCTTCAATCATTGTATTTGTGGTGTGTTTGCCGCCTGAATTTATTTGACTTTTGCAGTAGGTTTTTTGAACTGTGGTAATTTGCACTCTTTTTTGATGTATGTTTTGTAAATTTTCAGCCCTTTTCTTCTGATTTAACTCTTTAAACCTCAGTTAAACAGTGAGGCTTTCAAGTAGCAAATGAATTCCATTACGAAGGTCAGTGTTTCACACACACACACACACACACACACACACACACACACACACACACACACACACACACACACACACACACACACACACACACACACACACATACACACACACACTCGCATCTTTCTGCTGCTGCATCCAAAATAAGGGGAAGTGGCAACACAACAAAGACTCCTCTTATTGCTGCTGGAGAGACTGTGCCAGGCAGGATGTGTCTTTTAAACTGAGGTCTGTCTGTCTCTCTGTGTGTGTATGTGTGTGTTTGTGTGTGTGGCACATAGATGAGCTGCTGCACCTGTGGCTAACAGCCGAACTATCCTTGGTGATGAAGAGTGGGACTGCGGCAAAAAGTAAAAGCCAAGGACTCCTAAGTCTTCTGACTGGCGGTGGTTCCCTTTTTACAAATCCTGTCGGCTCTACTAATAAAATGATCATGAAAATGATTATTAAGTTGACTTTGGCTCTCAGGGAGCTTTTTTGAGACTGATAATAAACCCATGGACATGTGTTCACTCAGCTTGGGCTGAGAGATGACAGCTCATGATGACAATCTTCGTGTCGGTTGTGATTCTCTATTTGAAAACTCTATTCTTTGTACATGTCTGACTGAAACTAGTCTGTCTGAAAATATCCCTAAAATGAAATATAAACAAGGACCACCGACCTGAAACACCGTGAATTCTCATTGCTGAGAACAGAAGAAGAAGAAGAGGAAGAAGAAGAAGAAGAAGAAGAAGAAGAAGAATGTCACATGTCACAGTGTCCCCACACACTCAGAGGTATTTGGATTCATTTGACCTGCATATACAGGGACACACACAAACACAATTGTTCTGCAAATCAAAGCTCATATAGAAATAGAAAAGCATGTCATGTCAAAAAGTTGAAACTGGAGAATGTCACTGTTTTATATATATAAAGGGAAAAGCAACTGCACCACATTAAAGAAAGACAAAACGCTGCAAATGTCGCGTAAAGCAGTACAAATAAATACAATCTGCAGAAACTTCTTCCTACCCATTGGGTGTCTCTGCAACAGGTTAGTAACATGACGGAGTATAAAGAGGACACTCCAAAGAGGCTGAGTCTCTGTGAAGCAAAGGTGGACCACTTTAAGGGACACTGGGTGAGCAAATAGTTAAACAATTTAGTCCCCAGAGTTTGGAAATGTTCTCATAATGTTTATAATATCTTTAAAGGTTCAGATAATCTGAAGGAATCTCTGCAAAAAAAAGGGGGCTATTCTGTAGAGGAAATCACTGTATGGGCTCAAAATAATACCCATAAACCTTTGTCAGAGTACAGTTTGTTGATGCATCCACAAATGTGGGATAAATCTGTACTATGATCTGTACAATAATATGATGAACCAAAGTGTATCATTCTTTTTGGATATAATGGATGCTGCATCTTCAAGAAGAAAGAGCCCATTTGGCCCATGGCATGGTTAGCTTACACAGTTGGGGCATAGCTGTCAAGTATCCAGTTTTGGCTGGGAAACTACCATATTTCACCTCTCTTTCCTGCCGTCTTCCCTTATGAATGTTCTCCTGTAAATCTCCCGTATTAGAGTATATGTATATTAAAAACATTATTCTGCCTCTCCAAACTGAACTTTGTAAGTAGCGCACGCCAAGTACCAAACAAATAGTATTTTCCAAACCAAAACTTGACAGGTAGCCTGAGTTGTGAAGGCACCATTAATGCTGAACAATATATACAGTATAACAGGTTTCCAAGGCGAAAACGTTCATATTCCAACAAGATGACTTAACGCCCCATTTTGCATGTATTACAACAACATAGCTCTGTAGTAGCAGAGTCCAGTTACAAAACCGGCCTAACTGAAGTCCTGACTCATCTCCTAATGAAAACATCTGGAGCATCATCACACAAAAACATGACAGAAAATCCTGAACAGTTGAGCAGCTAAAATTATACATCAAATTTAAGATGAATGTTTGCATACTTAAACCCCAAAAATTTTAGTTTCAACATCTAATCTGTTGTCTTTGTATTGTTTGCAAACATCTCAATTTGTGTAATTAGAGTTGTATAAACAGTATAGGGCTGGGCGATAAATCGAAAATTTACAGATACCGAAATTTACGACAATAACCAACGTCATTTTGTCCATGTCAATATATTCAGTGTCAAATAAACAAATAAATCAATAAAAGTTGTTTTTGGATGTGTGTAGGATCGGCTAGGGTCCCTTTAGGACGCTGTCCTGCGTCAGAGACGTGACTCCACCCCATCTAGTCTGTAACGAAGAGGGAAAGACAGGTGAGGAGATGGAGGACGGTTCAAAAGTTGTAGCGGCTGGAGCGGCGGCTGAAGTAGACAGAGTTAATGTGGGAGGAAGTGAGCAGCTTGTGGAGTAGTTATGGTCCATTTATCATTATCTAGGTGAACTGCACAATATATCGTGATATTTTAGGCCATATCACCCAGCCCTAATACAGTATAGTCGTTTTGTCTAGTTTTCTTTGTATGAATAACCACAGAGCCAAAAGAAGAGTTGAAGCTTGCACTTTATTGGAAAAAATCAAACAAAAAAAATATAATCTTAAGGGTTGATACAGCAAATATGCTCAGTTAATGAATAAAGGGTCACTTTCATGTTCAGACCGTCTTTCCGCAGTCCTGTAAATGGCAGGATAAGTTTTTTATACCCAAAGCACCGATCAACAGTGCTCTATTCTCCCGCACATCCAGACTGCTTCACATCCAACCCTTTCTATTAATAACAGTCTATAACTACAACTGCTCTCTCTCCCTCTCGTTTTGTATAGAAACATGATCTGAGCATGAACGGGACCCTGCACATTCAGGTGGGAAAAAGGGCAGCCAGGAGCTTTGTAAATCGAAGAAAAAATGGCATGCCTAAAGCTTCAAAGCATAAATGCAGATTCCTTTCCAATTTAATGCTGCCTCAATCACTAAATGTAGTGCTCTGCTCATGTGAAAGATGACCCAATGCCAGATTCAGAGAAAATCCACCCCATTCATTTTAACGTGTTAATTCTGTTCACACACACATCTTCAATCTGAGCCTTCCAGCCACAGATTACTGTACTAGGCAACCTGCAAATACAGAGAATATTTAGTGCTCCACAAGCAAAACATGTCATCTCTTATAACTTTATATTAAATTCTTTTTCAAACAAATCATCTCAATCACTCAAAAATCCAATTCAACCAGCAATCATACCTTTGTATAAACCTGAAAACCTCCCACATGATGGAGGTCAGTGACTATTTCCATACTTCTTTTTCATCATCCTCTCTGTTGGTAATCATAAATAAATACAAACAATACACAAGGAATGTCTACTGCAAACAATACATAAAAAGAAAGAAAAGAAAGTTGTGTGGTATAATGAGGAGCTGACGTTTTTTTCCTAATCTGGGCTGAGTTAATCATGACTGATAATTAAAGGAAGTGACTTTTACAGCCTGGCCTGGAGAAAGAGGAACATAAAGGCAACTCCAACATCACTGTTTGTTTATTTTTTCAGATACATGATTATTGATGTCAGAAAGCTCTCCCTTCAGGGTGTTGTGCTCCTCTTAGTCCAGGAATCAGTGGAGACTGATTCACGTCCACATGGTTTTGAATGGCAGCACACACTCCTCTCCTCCTTCCGTGAGTTAGACGTGACGAGATGGGCACAATGTCCACTGTGATGCCTCTCTGAGATGGACACAGCTGCACAGCTCCAAGTCACCATGGTTTATTCAACATGTCTTATTTGGGCCTTCCTATCCCAGAGAGGTGAGTTCATTAGAGGCAAACGGCAGGTTTGCTTGGATATTTGACTTTGTCGTGAATCATCTTGAAACGGGAAAGACTCCTCCCCCCAGTCAGGTTACATAAACTGCATCTGGTGGAATAAGAAGAAACAACAGAGTCAAGTCTCTGACTTTAGTCTTTCAGAGGTTCAACAGGTGGCATGACCAGTAACCAGAGCTCCATCACAAAGGACCCTAGTGCCATAAGTCATGGAAGTAAATGTCTGTGCTGCTTTTGACAGCTTTTCTGTGGATTTTTGGAGAGTCAAAATTTATCAACACCTGGGACTTCATAAAAAAAACCCAGAATTAAACCCACATGGCTGCAGTTTTGGTTTGGCAAATTTAGCTAAAAAAGGGAAAGAAAGAAAATAGCGACTTCTCAGGTAATAGTTCTGCTTTGTAATAGGGGTGTCCCGATACAATATTAATATCAGATATCGGTTCGATATCAGCCAAAATTCAAATATCGGATTATATCGGCCTGCATCTAAATCTCCAATATCAGCACTCCGATACAAGCAGTCCATTCTAGACTCAGCTCCAGCACCTCTATCCAGCAGCACCTGGATCCAGCATGTAGAGCCCATGTGATCACAACAACAATGTGTACTAAGGTACTAATAAAGTACCAAGGATTAGGAGTGTCGGCCCTGTGGCAGTAATTAACATCGAATCAAAATCAGACAATACTGAAGGTTACAATATTGGTATAGCATCGGAGGTAAAAAAGTTGTATCAGGACACCCCTACTTTGTAATCTGTGATGGTTTATGTATTATTTTTAGGGAGATACTGTCATTTCTACTGTCAGCTGACTATGCTACATAAAGAGAAGTCCATAAAAATCAATAACAAAATTGATAAAGAACTGGACTGATAAGCAGAATCAGTAAGGGCATAGATATAAAATCTTATCAATTCCCATCCCTGTTCAGGAATAACCGTCAGAGATTTATCTGCCAGAGCTGCGGTGCTGATGCATCATCATATAATTTGTGACAGTGTACATGAGCAAAGAAGAGGATCAAAGCGGACTAAAGCAAGTGGTCAAAAGTTTGTCTAGGGTTAATGATATAGCAAAGTGCAACATGTGTGGCAAAGCTGTTTCATGCAAACAAGGAATCATGTCTAAATCTTCAACAAAGCCTGAATTTAAAGAAATGTACTGTATATTATAAGATGGGCTGCTGTCTCCTTTTAACAGAAACTCCCCTGCCACAGCTAGAGGTAGCAGTTGCAGCTGTAGTAACGTCTCGTTACACTTGGATACAAAAAACAGCTGAGCTCATCATGTCTAAAAATACATTAAATGTATTTAAGGATACAAGTTCAGAGATAATTCCTCCACCCACAAGCCTAGGAAGAGACCCTGTCATGCAGAAACTAGGTTCACTTTAGTTATGGAGGGCGAGATAGACAAAAGAATTTATTTTTCAATATCACTTTTTATTCTTTAAAAATTGTAGAATCAGAATCAAAAGTCAATATGAACTGGAACTGAATCAGAGTTGTTAAAACTGAAATGGTGACATGCACATCTTTATAGACACGTCAAACACATGCCTGTGTGAAAACGCAAATGTGAAACTAGCTTCAATCCCTGCGGAGCAAAGAAACTAAAGCTCATACACTCAGACACAAGCGTGTGCGCAGAGGGCAGTGTGCTAATCAGCCAGCGGTGAGGTCAGGCGTGAGAGTATCTCACAGCAAAGTGTTGTGATCAGTCTGAGACACAACATGCACTTTGCCATCACACTAGAGAGCTGGAGATGAAGGTAAGCACACACAGAAGAAAAGCTGTACCTAAAAGATGCTCTATAAAAAATTCTGCAGAAAGAGTTGGGCAAAGGGGTCCTTCCCTGGCGCTCTGAGGGGGCTGAAACTGGAGGGACCAGAAGTTGTGGGGGACTGAGGCGCAGAGGGGGTCAGAGGGGAAAATAAAAGCAGAGGAGAAGTGAAAGAGAGAGCTGATGATGGGACAGGACCCAAAATAAGAGCTATAGTTCAGCTGTCGGGTCAGAGAACAGATAAGGTGCCAACAGTTAAGTAATGCACAGTTGCACACTGTACTTATCATTATTAAGAATAAGACTATTTAATATAGTGATGCTGTAAGGATACTTATATTTTAAAGGAGGTCCAAATGGAGCTTGAGACAGCTAATATTTGATCATAATTATGATCTGATGTCTCAGTTCTCTAAAACGATGTTTCCTCAAGTCTTGATATAATTAAAAGCACTTTCAGGTCAACCATGTCAAGGAGAATCGTAAAGCTTTTTTAGATGCTGGGTGAAAAGAGGATGAGAACAGTCACTGAGAAGGACCATGAAACAGATCAGAGATATATGTCTGTTTCTAAACAGTCAATATGTGGTAGGATTAAAGTGAGAAAAGGGTTTGATAGGACTTCCATAACTTTCATCAAATCAAGAATAAAAATCATCTCTACAGAGTGGAGATCTGATTTGTTTTCTAAACCACTATCTAAGAAAAAAGTCATCATGTCTAATATCATCATCGTTATAGAGATTTTTTCTTTAAATGAAGATTTTTTTCTCCTGCTTGATTTCATTATGGGTTCAAGTTCAAGAGAGAGTCTTTCAGTGTGAACACTTGTTATATTCATCATCACGTCAACATGGTTTCACATACAGTTAGTCATTAATGAACATCAGGTTTGATAAAAGTGTGATGTGATTTCCACTGGACCTGAAGTCTCATAATTAGTTTATCAGTAAATGAAAATAAATAACTATGATGCATTTCGCTGGCAGAAATAGTCCTTCATGTGCAGGTGTTTGTTAAATAGGTAACAGAGAAAAAAGGTTTGTGTGTTTTATCAATTATAACAGAAACAAACAACTATCAAGCTGACTCACAGCTGATCAGATCAGCTGATACCATCATCACAAATGGACATTGCTTCACTTAACGCTCTGCTGAAGAGGATGTCTCATGTTTCTTAAAACACATTTCCTTCTTGCTTCTCTTCCTGATTTAATTTTCTTGCATCTCTCTGTACATCTTCATGACACAAGAGTGGGATGTAAGGATGCAGCTTTACAGAACTGAGATGCACCTGTAGACATCAAAATCACAACTCCTATGACCTGTTGTATAATCAGTAAAATAACTGTTCATGCAGTTGGGGTCTGGTGGCTTTAAGGATGATCTAACAGTTGGACCCTGACTATGACTTTGTCAAACCCTTTTAGCAGAGTTAATATGGTGGAGTGGATTTGCCCAGAAATCCTACATTTGTGCATTACATTGCTAGCCAAAACAAACCACTACACCTAACTGTGGAATTAGTGGAGTGTGATTTTGCAGCTGTAGACATCCATTACCTGTGCACCTGGATTTGCCCCAAATGGGTTGGCTGGCCTCATCACAGGCTGGGTGTACATCATAGTGGGCTGTGTCATCATCACGGAGCCCATGTTAGGAGGCTGGTGCAGAGAAAACAAACAAAGAAACAAACAAACAGAAAACAAGATGTTGATGAATTCATGTCTGAGCCAAAAAAAATCTAAAAATGGAAACTTCTGTCCATACAGGTTTGGGGGCGGTCAATTCCATCAGGTGTAGAGACTCATTCAGTGACAGAAATATTTACAATCAACCTCAAAGATATGTATTACCTTTAATGGAAAACCATCTAGTTCAGTTTATAAAACAGGGTCACTGCATTTTATATACATTAGGTAAAAGCCCCAATATTGCATCCCAGCAGAGTCTTTGTCTATGAACCAGTGTGTGTGTCTGTGTGTGTGTGTGTGTGTGTGTGTGTGCTATAGTATGCGTGATGGGGTGAAATCCTGAACAAGTCCCAGCTGACTTACCATTCCATATGCCATCATGCCCGTAGGTGTGGTTGCAGGGAAGGCCATGACAGATGGTGCCTGAAGTGACACAAACAAAAAAAAAAATTTTTTTTTGTGCAAAATCAGGACACGGCGATATCTGACACACATTGTGCAGGGCAGAGCCACGGTTCCAGGGTGCCTCTGAACCCTTTTCTACAAACACTCTAATGTCAAGCATTTCACTGTCATACTTTTGTCATCAAAGTTATATTTGTTATAAAACAAGACAGAAAAGTTTGTTTTCAGTTGCCTCTGCTCAGCAGCTTAAAAGCTGGTAGGCAGTTAGGCAGGAGGACTATTTTTTTAAGCAAGTATTAAAAGTATGGAAATAAATTTGATCAGTCTCCAGGTTTTGAAAAGTATAGAAAATGAAAAATTAAGCATGGAAAAATAGACTTTCCAGACTTTTACCATAGTTCTAAATTACTGTTTTCTAAAATGCAAAAGTAGGTATTTCCAAAAATAATTCTAACAAGCAGGGTATGGAAAGGTATGGAAATTCCAACTATGTAGGAACCCTGTTCTTCTTATATTTCTCACTTTGGCTTGCTTCATTCAACATGTTGTATTCTGGTATAGTGTAATATATAATTCAAACTCAAACAGGAAGAAAGCAGGAGGATACAGCAAAATTCAGTCGACGGTTGATCCCTCAACCGAAGAGTGGAAAGCAGCAACATGGCAGACAATGAACTTCCTGATGCAAGATTCAAAATCATCGGTTAGTATTATTTGGAAATGCTTTCTTTTTTTAGGTAGTGGGGGAGGGAAATTTTGCATTTATTAATAAAACAACTGAAGAGAGATGGAAAGAAGTGAGTAGGGGAAGGCATGCAGCAAAGGCTTGTAGCAAAGAAGGAGCCAACTAGAGCCATGGCCTCTGTACACGGGGCACATGTTTTTACTAACCGGTGCATTTGTTCACTAAGTTTTACTGACATGAATCCTCTGCAGAGGTCCTCCTCCCTACATAACAGACCAGTGTTTTCCTTTAAGTATAGAGTGTGAGGTGGGGCAGCCAGCTGGACCGTCACTGGCTAGAGCAAGTTTTTAGGGGCTTAGCTTGTTTATCGCTGGAGATCCTCTATTTATTATTCACATAGTCTTGTGGATGTAAATCTTTATCCATTTAATGTCAAAGTCTTGTGGCTGAATATATTTCATGTTAGGCGGACAACGGGAGTTGGGTGAAGTGCTGATGAGGAAAAAATGGAGTGATAGTCGAAGCTTTAAAAGTCATGGACAGCCCTAAAGAAAACACTGAACTTTTCACTGAAAATGCCTTGAATTTCAGCAAAACTGCAATACAGCGAGACCTGAAGGACATCCTTCTATTTTTATCAGTGACGGGCCTGAATAAATTTGGAGAGGTAAATGACAGTCACAGAAGAGGGAGAGTAAAGGGAGGGTGGTGAGTCCTGGGGGCTGAGGTTAGTTCCTGGCAGGTGCAGAGCTCTTTGTGGAAAGAAATCAAAGCGAGAGAGAAGGTACAGACTCTTTCTTTGAGCACCCTGCTTTTCCAACAGAGCCTGCAGTGATAACAAACCCAGATCTGTCTAACGCCCTGCCCTCTCGGGAGATACAACTTTCATGAACTATTCAGTAATTGGCAAGGGAGCCACTTTGGCTGGTGCCAAAGTGAAGCTTTCATCGCAGACGGTTTCATTGCACTGAGAGCTGTTCCTCAGAAATTCTCTTTCTGACAGTGTTGGGTTAGTTTTAAAGACAGCTAACTCCACAAATAGTTAATAATGACACAAAACTCAATTTTTATAATATTAGTTCTACTTTTATGATGGATTGTGTTTCAAGGTCTATTTCAATAACAAGATCTTTTTTTCCAGCCTTATCAGAGAGCACTTCATCTTTTGATCAAGGGTAAACACTCTTGCTGTATTATGATTTTTGGGGATTTTAATAATACCAATACCAATACCAATACTTTATATCAATACTATGTAAATCATGATACTCTAATTAATACCAACCTTCATTTTTTGGTGCAACAATTGAAGGAAAGTAATCCAAAACTAACAGTTGAAAAGTCATCGTCACACAAGTGGTGGAAGTTCTGGTGTGGGGACACCATGGACTTAATAGTCTGCACGTCTCACACATGCTCAACTAGACTAAGATCTAGCTAGTCTGGAGTCCTTGTATTTGTAACAAGAAGCAACGTTCAGACTTAAGAAATATAACCAATGCTAAAGTGCTAAAAATTTGCAGTTCATTGAATGGTGCAGAAGCCGAAACCACATCCACACCCAACAACTCATTTATCTATCTGTACAAAACATATGCTCCAGTGGCTCCATAGCTCAGTATGAGATTCAAGGTAATTTGATAAAGTGACTCACTGTCTGACTCATAAATAACGAGCTCTTGTGGTTCCTTCAGGGTGAAAACCTACCACAGATGCAGGGTTCCAGGTGGTTGAAGGAGCAGCCTTGGGCTGCCAGTTGGTTCCACCTGTCATCTTCTTCTCACCAGGCTGACTCCAGTGGAGATCACTACAAAGACCATGCCACAGTATTAGTTACCTTGACTACTGAATTCACAAGATATGAAGGCCAATATCATTTGAGAGCTCTTACTTTTTCACTGTGCCATTGCCAATCCCCAAATCTGAAAAGTAGAGGAGCAAAGACTTGATCTTCAGAATCTCAATAAAATCATGTTGACACAAGTTAATGGTGGAGAAAAGGTTAGAAGAAAAACCCTCAAACTAGTTTGCATGTTTAGCAACCTTTGCCTCTGTTATTCAGCTTCTCCAACCACTGACTGCTTAATGCTGCAGGTCCCAGGAGTTTAATCTGAATTGGGTAAATCTGCATTCAGCTACTGTGCTCCTATAACGTGGAAAACCCTACAACAAGATCTGAGGATGAATACACTTGATTCTTTAGGCAAATTCAAGATGATGATCTCAAATAATTCCACCTCAATATGTAATTGGTTTCACTGATTTTACCTCTTTGTCTTGTTTGTTAAATTGTTCTAAATGCGTTTCTGTTGTATCTGGACATCATTGTGAATGAGGGAAACTTCAATGATCTTCGAGAATTAAATGAAGGTTAAATCAAATTTCAAATTAAATTTTGCGGGAAAAATTGAGAGTAATAGAAAACTGTAATATGGTGTCAGTACAGTAACAGAATACCTCTACCCTCTCAAGCTGTCACTAAAACCCTTAGCCTGACAGTCTATCACCTGCTTAGTGTACGTCCTAAAGAAGGCAGAGCTGGTAGAGTGCAATGAGGTGCAATCTTAAAGGGATATTCCGGCATAAAATTAACTCAGGGTCAAACACACTGTAACACCGAGTTAGACACCCCCTCGAGAGATGGTCTAACTCGGTGTTATGGTTTGTTTGACCCTAAGTTAATTTTACGCCGGAATATCCCTTTCAGCACCTGAAGTGCTAAAAACCACTACAGCTTTGGTTATTTTTCCCTGACCTCAGACCAGCTGATTTCAATAGAGACCAAGCAATATTATTACACCTATGGCATCACTACTTTTACCTCACCAATACTACTGAGCGACATATATGACATATATAGGACATATACAGGACATATACGGCATATTCAACATGAAGAAACTTGAACGAGGAATAAACTGATGCGCTTTGAAATGACTTTACTGTGACTTCATTGTGACTTAAGTATGTTTAGCTTACTCAGGTTCACTCATCACAACCAAACCAGCCCTAAGGAGAACTTCACTGTTTAAATCTTAGCGGTCAATAAAAGGAACTTACTGCCAACAAGATTAGCCAGTGACGAGTCCAGGTCATTAGACACTAGTTTGTGGGGCTGCTGGCCGTTCAAGGTCATGTCCTGATTGGGTGAGGATGCCACTGTAGGTTTGAGGATGCCACCTAAAACATCTTAAAGAAAAGGGGGCAGCACAAAAAGAAAGGAGAGGAAGGGCAGGGGAGGGTGAGAGGTTGGAGGGGGCCCAGAACGAGTGAAGACACAACACAACACAAGAAAACAATACCACAGTAACACACAAGGACAAACACGTGACAGTACAGAAATGCACAAACATGGACAGAGAGAGACTGGTGAGCAATGGTGAGGCAGGAAGCTGGGCTGAGAGCACACACAACAAGAAAACAGAGCAGGCTTCAACTGTGTGAGAGATGTGTGTATGTGTGTGTGTGTTTGTGTGTGTGTGTGTGTGTGTGTGTTGTATCAACTCACCCAGTCATGCATATGCCATGCAAAAAGCCAAGGCCCCAGGGAGTGTGTGTAACCCCGGGACAAGGGAAGAGAGAAGAGAACTGTTGTGAGATTGTGAACAGCGTGGAGCCCAGTGAGAGTGCTCAGAGTAGAAGTGTGTAATAGGCTCGAGGGAGCGTTTGAACACATCAGTGTATTTAGACACGAGTATAATGACCAAACATCAATGAGGCCAGTGGGCAACGCTTGGTAACCTCAGTTACACTGTGGCGGCTCTACCACTGAGAATACTTGTGAAATGAAGACCAGCATTTGTCTGATCACATTTGTCTGATCATCTTTGTATACTAGAGTGGCTCTAGTGCTGGTTGTGTAGTTCTGTTCTACTGTGAATGTTGGTTCAGAGTTGTGAACTGTCCAAGAACCAGTTTGCCTTCCCAATGGCAGGGACTACATAAACCACTGCATACGTCTGTTAACGTGTTTCTTATTTTATGAGACTTACTGCAGACTTGAAAATACATATTAAACGTACTCATCTGAACGGCTTTAAAAACAATCTTTTTGATAAGCTAGTTCAAACCAATCGACAAAGTGGACTCTTGGTTGTTTAGGGATTTTTTGCATTTACCCGACGAAGTGCAACTGGCACAACACCACAGCAAGATTCATCACACAATAAAAGCCACTTTTACAGGCTAATGAGACATGGAGGCTTGATTCACATATTATACTTCACATAAACCACACACACACGCACACACACAACATATCAGTATCCAGCTGTTTGATCCAACATGCAGTCTGTCCCCCCAACCTTCAGGTGGCAGCACACTACATGAAGTCTGCAGGCTAACAGCTGGGAAAGAAGTGCAGTTACCTGTACCATCCAGATTGTTGGCATTGGTGTTGTTACCAAATACAGAGTCAAAGTCCACGTTAAGGCCTCGGGAGTTCTGTGGCTGCTGTGGTGTTGGGGAGGCTGCAAACCCTGGGGAGGAGAGAATTATCTGTTAAGGGTGCAAGAATATTAATCAAACAATAGTTTTGTGCCTCCTATCACGATCACAAGGAGGTGAAAGAACTCAGGGAATAAACAGAAGCAGTGATGCAGCAGTCTGATAAACCAAAGTTTGAATCTGTTTTTGGGAATTCATGGAAATCGATGCATCCCCAACTCTAAGGTCGAGAGGAGCCCATCAGTTTGTGACCAACAGTGCCTTAAACACGGGCAGTTAAAACTTCTGTAAAGCATCATGCGCTGCCATCCATACAAAGATTTTTCCAGGGTAGAAGAGAGTGTCCAAGTACAGTTTGACTGTAATAGAACAGCATGGCTCTGTAGTAGAAGAGTCCTGCTGTTAAACTGGCCTGGCTTGTTTGTCACCCTCTGAATCAACTGAATGTAGAGTTGGATAATTTGCAAATTCTGGTCATGTACACATGTAGCCAGATATTAGCTAAAACAAATATGTTTTTGTATGACTACCTCATTAAAAAAAACGGTGCTTTTGGAAAATCAAAGTGAAGACTTTGCTTGTGGACATAGATAACCAGAGTTTTAAGTTCCCAAGCGTCAGTGTCCACGACAACTAATCGATTAACATCATATACTATGACGTCACAGATATATACAGAATATACATTTTGTAAGGGGCAAAGGAGGAGGGGTGTTTTGCAGTCGGTTATTCTACACCAAATAACCCTTCCTCCACCTTTTTGTGTCTTGTTGACTAAACAATGCTTAAAAGCAACTCCACCTCTCTGTTAGTCTACAAGAAAGAACTGCACGGCGCTACGTTCATGTTCGGAGACGTGACGATGAGAAGGGGAAGCTTGCTCTGATTGGATAGAATGGGTCTAACTTTTTGGCAAATACGACCAACTCCAGGTCTGGCATGTTTATAACCACAGTTAATAGCACACTTATGCAGTTTTGTGTGGAGGGGATTTTACTGGAAATCAATGATGTGTGTACACGATTTTTTTTCTTTTTAAACGGAGGGGGTTCGTTTATAAATATACCCCGCTACGTGTGTACATGCCCTTTGTTATCTGAATCTACACAGTGTCCCAGTTTAATAGTTTTGAGCTTGCGTCATTTCTTTCTGGTCTTAAGGAAATCACATTTTAGGGGAGGGGGCCATTAGTGTACATACCTCTGAATAGACCAGCTACAGCAGGGGGCTCAGATTGGAAGAGTGGAGTGGTGTTGTAAGGGCTTGGCCCACAGAAGGAGTCTGACACACAGCGACAACAGCAGGCAAGCAAAGAACCAGGCGGAAAGAGAAGGAAGAGAAATTATGAAGATACAAGACAGGATAAAACTACTGAGGAGAAAGTGTGACAAGAAAGCCAGGCAGCAGTGGATCATAACAGGGGGGAAAACGAAAAGCAGAAGCTGGGATTGTTTCATGGCGAGTTTCAAAACAGGGCAGATTCAAGGAAGTGTGCAACTGGTAAAGACAAAACAATGCAGGCTTACACCCATTTGCTAGTAGGAAGCAGGGAGGGAGAGAGGCAGCAGCAGGACTGCTCAGGCTTTGTTAACAAAGCACTCCAATCCAACGGTTCAATCCACAAATGTTGCACATTTCACAGCTGTTTATGTGACAGTCAAGCAGTCATTTGTTCACTAAGGTACCTGTGGTAAATGTCTCTATCTGTGCAGCTGTATCGAGATCAGATGCCAGAGATGAGCTCGAATCAAAAAAGGGATTGTAATGATCTGGTGAAAAACAGAAATGCGGCTGATAAAGATGAGTGTTCATGAGTCAAAGCCTTAGAAATGCAAACAGAAACATAAAGCAAGAGGAAATATTAAAAGAGCTGTGATTGAAGGGAGCAGCTGAGTTAATAAATATGAGCAAGTAAACCTAATATCTGGTGTTGGGCAGCACACCAGAACCTAAATGTCCTTGAGTATTTTCCTCTCAGTTTCCTCCTCTTCTCTCTCTGCAGCTCTGAAATGCTCGTTCATGTGCTCCTGGCAGCTTCATTTGAATTAAAGTCTAACCACCTGCTGCAATGATTAGCCCGGGTGATGACTTTTAGCAAAGGTATCACACATTAACATGTGTCCTTTTTAGAACAGTAATGAAACTGCAAAGCAGTCCCACCAAATATCCCATGGCCAGGTGGGCAGGCTGACATTGTTCCAGGACAGCTGTGCAGCAACAGCAACAGATAGTGTGAGTCGAGGGTTTGCATCTGTGACGGATTTTTCAACAGCAAGGTGAGATTGTGAGGGGTGTGGGCATAAAAACCAGAACACCAACTACTGCATGAGTTACAGTATATGTGTGTATATCATTTATTTACACTCTGTTTCATTTCTGCATTGACTGCTAAATTGTTTAAATACAACCCCAATTCCATTAGAGTTAGAGTACTTTTTCAATTGTTAGTGAAACTGATTTGAATGGTTTGCATATCATTTAAATCTTATATTTAAAAGAAAATAGTGCAAAGACAACATAACAACTGTTTAACCTTAAAGACCCACTCCGATGAAAATCGTGTTTTTCTTGTTGTCTACATGTTCATATGGCATTTTAGTGGTGCTACAGGACATATCGTGAGAAAAATAAGTGCAAAATTGCATTTCTGAGTATTTCTGCATTCAAATCCCTGTGATTCTCTGGCAGACCCAAACAGCAGGTTCAGATCAGTGAGATTTCCTACGTAGCAAATCCAAGCTCTGACGCTGGAGTCCCGCTATGCAGGACATACATGCAGGAAAAGTAGAAAGAACATTCGCGGAACAAGCGTGTGCGTTAGCGGATTGCAGTGCATGTAAGAAAGCTAATTATGATATTAACTTTCATGTCCCTAAACACATTAGTGTTGGAGAGCTGAATAGCTCCTATGTTACCTGCCAATTCTGCTACACAAGCAATGTTAGGCTGCAAGCTAACATGAAGGCGAGTGTGCAGAGCAGCACTGACTCCGCCCACGACTCAGAGGCGATTTGCTAATGAGCTACTGGAGCTCTGCAGAAGAAAAGCCCTTGGAAATGACACAGGTAACGTGATTTTAGCTAAAAACTTCAAAATTACAATTTAAAGACCACTAATAACACTTTTAGTAAAAAAGAAAAAAACGATCGGAGTGGGACTTTAAAGAATTATTTTTTAAAATGTTTTTATGAGAAAATGTATGCTAATTTTAAATGTGATCCCAGCAACACGTTAGTGAAAAAGTTGGGACAGCAGCATAATAACACTGAAAAAGTTGTTTTCAAAGAAAGATGGGAAGTAGTTCACTACTCTATGAGGGACTGAGTAATCATATAGTTGAAATATGATTTTCAGCAAGAGTCGGCATATATCAGCAAGACAATATCCAGCTGTATTCTGCACATATTACAATAGCATTGCTCTGTAGTCGAAGAGTGTTGGTGCTGAACTGACCTGCCTTGAGCTTTGACGTGTCACCTATTTGGCACATCATGATACAAAAACTATGACAAAACTGTTGACCTGTTGAGCAGCTAAAATCGGGTAAAAATAGGACCTTCTCCTCTCAAAAGTCCTGGTCTCCTGGGTTCATAAACTTTTACAGAGTTGTTAAAACAGAGGTGATGCAACACATTGGTAAACACGTCCCTGAACAAACTTCTTTTGAAGCCTGTTGCTGCCATTAAATCTTAAATGGGGATACACTTTTATGGAGCAATAAAATGTTTTAATCTTTAATATTTTGTCTCTGCACTATTTTCAATTAAGAACATCATTTAAATGATTTGCAAACCATAAAACAGTGTCCACTGTGTCCAAACGTTTTTGGAACTGGGGTTGAATTATCAGAGGTTACATCATTTTAATCTCTTAACTTTAATTAAAAAAATCAAAGGACTCTTAAAAAGATGATATCCAAATGTTGATAGTTCCTCATCTTAAAAATATTATGAATCATGAATCTTGTACATGTTGATTATTATTTTTCCATCAGATCATCATGTCACCATCAGGGTGGTCTAAATAGATTGAAGACCAACTATAATCTGCAGCACCAATTAACCATCTTAATGAGAAGAAATAAAGCATTTACTTGGGCTTTTTACTGAGTTAACTTATAGATCTGTATTTCATTTTAATAGTTTATGACTTAAAAAATCAAATATTTTGTTATGACCGAGTGCTGGAATTCACAATCTCTGCCAGTTGAGCACAAGAATGTTCTTGAGGACTTTTTTCCTCTAATGCAGGAAAACCAATCCAGCTGTAGGAGACACCAGTACACCCTTCATTTACCATCTACCCTTTACCTTTTTCTGGCTACATTTTCAGAAAAGTGTCTTCAAAAGACTGCAGGAGGGGGAGAGATGAGGAAACTGTAAAATAAAGAAACTCTTTGGCTGAGCTCTGTTCATTCAACGGTTGTGACAGTGAGATAAAAATAGCATGAAAGACAGAGACAACAGGAGAGACTGAAGTGAGGGGGACATAAGGGGTCAAAGACAAAGTAGTCAACTATTGTAGACTACCAATGACACAGATAATGTTAACTTTAAATGGCCCATAAGCTCATAGTGCTGGAGAACAGGAGTCATCTGATAGACCCTAATACCAGGGTCTGCAGGGATTACTGTAGGGAAGATAACTTAGAGGTGAAGACCTCTCTGTTGGGAACGCTTCTTAGTTTCAGGGACCATTGAGCCTTGAACGACATTTGATTTCTCAGCAGCAGTCATCCTTCAAAAAAACTCACTCAGTCTCTTCATTTTCCAATAGCAATCCATCCCACAAACACAAAACTGAGAGCCATGTTGTGTCATCTTTTTCCACCTGAATAGGTTTACAGTGAATGCTCAAAGTACCAACCAACCCTGTTAAACAGCCATTATAACAATTAATTTGTAATAAACAAAAATAAACTTTTAAATATTCAATTTTAACCAAGGCGTATTTTCTAACACTTTGACATAAAAAATGTCAAAACATACTTTTTACTCTGGGATAATAGTTTCTATTAACAGTACTTATGTTTTCTATTCCTTCATATGTTATTGTATAACCCTGATTCTAGGAAAAGTTGGGACACTATGGAAAATGTAGGAAAACTAGATTTAAAAAAAATCATTTTATCCTTATAATGGAAAAGATCAAATGTTTGGACTTATTGCTTTTATCCTAATTTTTTAAACCTGTTGCTGACATCAAATCTAAAATAAGCACATAATTTCTATACAATAATCACATTTTTCAGTTTCAACATCTGATAGGTTGTTTCTGCACCATTTTCAATCAAACACAAGGTTTAAATTATTTGCAAACCATCAAAACAAGTTTTTACCAACTTTTCACACAGCATCCCAACCCTTGTGGAATCATGGTTATGTTGTTCTACGTCTGTTATTGAGTTTGTTCCCAATAGTTTGAGTGTGAACCCAAACCCTACATAATATCAACTGTGTAAAACATTGAGGAGTTACACAGCTGAGTTAGAGACCAGATATAAATATGTTTGGGATGTGTATGTGTGCTGATGGATACGTGGCTCAGTGTGGCAGCACAGTGGAATGAGGTGTTGCCAGGAAAAGTGGAGCTCTCACCTCCCCATGTGTTGGTGGTGGAAAGCGGCAGGGGCTGCTGGAAGGCTGGCTGCAGGTCAAGCAGGTCGTTGGCTGCTTTTGAGTTGCTGTAGAAAAAAAATAAACAGGAAAACAAGGACAAGAGTGATAAAGCGGTCACTCATTTACAAAGTTTCAAGGTCTCTTCTGAGTGTAAAGGTTGTTACGAGGAGAGAGAATACACTGCGGTTTATCAAAACAATCAAAAATCATCAAATGTGGACAAATCTGGATTTAAAGACAAACTGTTATCAGCTTGTTACTGATGTTTCCTTTTTATCTCAGACGGTGGCTTAAGTGACCCCTAATTGTGCCAAAAACCTGTGTGTCCTTCTTACTGCTTTTTTAAATTTGTTAAATGAATAAGTAGGCTGGTGGATCCTGTTCCAGATTTAGACAACCGGAGTTAATTTTCTTTGGGCTCTATCTGGCATCTTGGAAGCCAAGATTAAAATGTGTTAAGATGCTACTAAGCCTTTAGTAATGGCTAAAATTGTTTTTGTTTTTCCTAAATCAATGTTGACTCCATTTATAGGGAGATCATTAACATTAGGGAGGGAGAAAAAAATCGATACAGTACAGTATTGCGATATTTTGTCTGGTGATATGTCGTATCATCTCATTGACCAGGTATCGGGTTTTCAAATAAATTGTTAATATGAAGTCAAATCTAAAAAAATAGAAAAAATAAAATCAACTGTTTGTCCAGTGAGGTTGGCAGATGTGAAATTATAGAGCAGGAGAAAGTTAGAGCAACAAATATATAAGGTTCGCAAGATGTGCTACATGAAAATAAAATACAGCGTAAATAAGACAAACATAAAGAAAAGACAAATGCTCAGTTAGCTAAATAGTTGAAAAATTATATAAATTGCAATATATTGTATCGCAATACTCACTGTATTGCAAAATGTTAAAAATCGCAATAATATTGTATTGTGGCCCAAGTACCGGGAAATATCATATCGTGGGGCAACTAGTGATTCCGACCCCTAAATAACACGCAGTGGTGGGTTGTTTGTAGAAGCCATGTAACTAAATTTGATGAGCTAATACACGTCCTATTAGCATTACCTGTTGTTGGAGCTGGGAGTTGAGAAAAGGTCAATGGCAGGGGTTGAGTTGTTGGTCCCACCCACAGTGAAGACAGGGGAGGAGTCTGTGGTAGCTGTGGCAGGATTCTTCTGGAGCTCTTTCAGACGTTGGTCCTACAGGTCACAGGAGGCAAACATTAGCAACATTTATACTAACATTTATCCAGTTTATCAGAAAAGACACAGCACTAATCTCTTAGTTGAAGTTTCTTAATGCCTATGCTTTTGTTTAGCAGTTCACATGGAAGAAACAGCAGAGGAATAAAAGAAGGTGACGTACTGAAAGGGTCTCCAGCCTTAATGCATTGATACTAGTATCTAAAGCTAAATTTATGCTACAAATGTTAAGCTAACACATGTTTGATGTTATCTAATGAGATCTCAAGGATGTAAAGGGCATCAGCAACACGCCCACAGAGCAATGCTCATCAAAGGATAGAACTGATTGTGGAAAATGTACTTTTAGTGCTTTAAGGCGAGCCTGTTCCTCTTCAAGAGCTGCCTGTTTTTCCCTCTCGTCCACTTTGGTGAAAGATATCCCCGTGTTGGCCAGGGAGGACACTGCATTGGAGAGGGTGCTAGCTCTGGATCAGACAGGAGACACAGGACAGTCGCATATGATCATTTCATAGCTCAGTTACAGAAAACAAAGTGAAGTACAAACATGCTTTATACAGCTGTTGCTTTGGGCTTTAGAGTCAAAAAGTCATCTCTGCTGTGTGCTGAATTAAGTTACGAGTTAAAAATGAAACTTTAAGGAACAACGGCACTTTTTAACATCTTTAAAAGAGGTTTGTTTTATTAAAGAGGGAGAGAAAACAAACTTACCTGCTAGCTGCTGTTGAGTCTTTGACTTTCTTTCCCTCTAAAGAGGCCAAGTGTTGCTCCAGGGCATCCAGTAAGCTACTTGGGGCCTAGTGTAAATATCATTGACACGCGTTAAAGGCTGACGACATCTTCCACAGAAACAAGAGGTAAAACAAAAACACTGAAGCATGCAGAATAACTGCCAAGAGTCAACAAACAGAGCTAGTCGAAAATACAGAGAAAAGGGGGAGAAAAGGTTTAGATACTTACACAGACTGTAAACTGGAAATAGAGAGATAGAGGGGAGGGGAAAATACAGAAAATAAAGGTGGTAACTGTCAAGATTTATTTAGCATAGATTGATATCATCTTTTGACAAATCCTATCTGTATTTGGTCTGTATGTTGCTGGAACAGTAACCTTTATTAACAATACCTTTATGTGAACATATAAATATAATAAATTAGTTAGTAATTATAATATCTTTGGTAGGTCACTGGTCTGGACATTAACTCTTGATTTACACCTTTATTTGCTGTAGGATGTGCAAAGTCAGGAGTGAGTGTGAACTGGAGGGTGTAAGAGCAACAGTAGGCATGTGCATGGCCTGCCTGCAGAGCTACTGCTGTGAAAACTTGTTAGTAGAAAAGCTGAGTGGGGGTGGGGGGTTAGCAGCCTAAGAGAGAGAGAGAGTCATAACCAAATTTTGGAAGTCAATATCATCACTTAACCTCTCTAAGCACACAGAATAAGCAGGGCCCACCACTGGACACTTTTTAACCAGAGTGAGCGACGTCGAATTTTTGTATAGAGATTAAACTCTGTCAAGTCTGCTTTGTCTCGGTAAGTCTAAGGTACAAAATAGTCCATTCATGTATACATCGAGAGTAAGGTTTCCCTGGGAGAAGAGCCGATGGAAAGTTCTGACTTAGACACCAATGAGAAAAAAAGTGCAGACAATCAATCAAATTAAAAACCTGTTGAGGAAGAAGTGCTGGTGCTGGACTAGTCCCCACTATTCAGAATTAATTACCACTGTTATATAGTTTTAATTCAAGCCTCTTTATCCATTTGGCATCAATACAATAACATAAAAATAATGACACAGCTTTTAAATGACCCATTTTATTCAAAAACCTCCCAGCTGAGTCACAAATCAATTGTAATCCATACTTTGTGTCAAATAGAATAATAAGATCACTGAAGTACTTTCAGTCTGAGCTTACAGCTACAAGCTAAGCATCCAAGTGCAGACTGACACCAGTAAGCCATCACACTACTTGTATCGCTCTACTTTTGGCTGTGAATGAGCAGAGTGTTTTTAAAAGTGTTTATCCTTGAAAAACACAAATACAGCTTTCATTGACGGACAAAGCACTTTTAACGATGTCTCCTACCTTTAAATCATGATTTTTTTAACACACTGGTATAGCAGTGCAGCAATTAGTGAAATACATTATCTAGAATTCAAGATCATAAAGTATATTACATTGCACTCATTTATTGATCCATCAAGACACTAATTGCTTTAATTTGATCAAATTGGACTTAAAAATCAAATACTGTTTTTATTTTGGCCTGATTAAAATGTGATTAATATCAGTTTTCTCTTAAAACTCATCAATAACTCTTCATTTAACCGTTCAATCCTTATTATATTATATCATAATTTATTATACTGTATTGTATTGTATTGTATTGTATTGTATTATATTATATTATATCATATCATAACATGCACACGCTATGTGGGCAGCAAAAATTATTAATGATAGCTGAGAAGTAATCACTAATTTTTCAAACAGATACTCTGGCTCATTTAAAGTCTTTTAATACCTACAGGGTGTGTGTTTTAACCAAATGCATGATCTTATTTGTACTTGCACCTCCCCAAAATTTGGCCATTAATTTTTTTTTGTTAGTGAAGCAAAGGCAGCAAAGAGGTAAGGAGTGAGTAGTTAAGGTCTTTTTCTCAGTAAGTAACTTGCAGTGGACCTACCTGAGACAGATCAGGGATGTCCCCTCGATCGATTCCCACTTGCTGCAGCAGGATAAAAACAGTGTATCAGAATTCAGGGGAAAAAAACCTTTGATATTATCTCAAGGCTTTTATTATTTTCAAATTAAGGATTGATCAAGTGAGTCATGACTTACCTCTGCAACTTTGAGAAACTCTGAGATTCTTGTCATTCGTGTTAGGAACTTCTTATAGATATCAAGCCCCTCTTTGCATTGAATCTTCTTCATGTCAAAGTATTTCTCTGTTAACAGAAGAGTAAGCAAAAAAATAGAGCATGAAACACTGTAACTACAACTGAACTGTACTACACCTGCAGAGGTTGCTGATTCATAGATTAGAAATAACACTGTAAATACTTATTGTGTCTAAAAGAGGTCAACCACAGACAAGATCAGTGTGCCGTGCAGTTTTGCAGAGCATGCTTGTGACACCTTTTAGTCTGTCAATTAAAGACTAAAGCGGTACATAGACTGTAGGGGGAATGCCAACAAGTATTATTAGGCCAACCTTGGTTGCACAGCTTCAGTACTATCATCTATAATGAGTCCTTTTATTGTTTGCTTGCAAGAACGGCTTGGAAAAGAATTGATCAAACTAGCAACTTTCAAACCAAAAGTTTGTCTTTACCCAGGAGGTTAATGATGCCCTCGTTGTATGCAGCAAACAGTCGAATAGCATCTTTGAACAGAAGCATGAAGGCCGCATTGATCACACCATTCGTCAGTTCATTGGCATTGACCTGAAGAGACAGAGGTGTTTAAGACATTTGATTTTAAATCCAAAATGCACTCCAGATGTAGAGATTTATTTGTTAACTACTGACTTCACTACTGAAGTGTGAAGCCAATAGTGGACTCTTACATTGAAATCAAGGAGCACATCCATCTGATTCTGAATGATCGGGATGGTCTTGAGGAGCTTCTCTGTGTTCATGGTTCTCATCACACCATCAGACCTGAGGGGGAAAAAAGCAGAGAGGGAGTCAAACACAGACATCTCTGGGACACTGGCTTTATTGGTTTGATGTCAATGGGACAGTTAATACCACCAACCAGGGCTAATGGTAAAAAGAAAATTAGCTTGTAAACATAAACCAGCATCTGATCATCAGAAGAGCCAACAGATAATTTAAGTGTTGGAGCTAAAGTTGTCAACTTCTTGCTTTTCTAGTGTTTTTCAACAGCATGTGTTTAAAGAAATGCAACATCCATATCCTCATGTAAGAAAAATCATGCATAACTGCTGCAAAACAACATCGACTTCAATGTTCTTTCAAAAGGAGGTGAGGAAAAATGTGTTTTTCTGCTCTACTCGGTTCTGTCAGCAGACAGCCATCTGAACTATTCAGGAACAGTGTGACCAGAATGTGATGACTAATATTAAGCTACATCCCGATAACACTGTTTCTATATAGTACAGAGGAAAAGTTTTGCACATAGCATGTTAATATGTTGAGTTTTTTTTTTATTTGCTGTAAATATCTGTCGGTCGTTTTGTGTCTTTTTATATTGAAATGCTTACCGTGACTTGTACGTCAGCTTTTGGTCACTTCCTACACCCTAACTGGCCTGAACAGTTGGTTGGAAACCACTGCTCTAAATAGCTCACAAACATGCACACACCTAAGCAGGAAGATGCAAACTAATAATTTGAAGGACAAATTCTAGTTTATTTTGGGAAAATTCTAATCTATTTTCCCTTTTCAGTTGCCATGATATCAAAACAGATGTCAAAATTTTTTAATAATTGTATTGCAGTGAAAATTCTGGTACCCTCTGGTACAACACTTGGATAGAGAGGACTAACTGGTTCCAGAATATGTCATTATCCTGGTGGCTGAATTAACAGAATAAAAACCTTGAATTTTAAATGCTAAAAATTCTGATGGTGGCACCCTTATTAACAACCTTTAAAGCAGTGTTTCTCAAGTCCAGTCCTCGAGGCCCACTGTCCTGCATGTTTTGGATATCCTGCTCCAACACACCTGATTCAAATGATCAGCTCGTTATTAAGCCATTACAGAGCTTGATAACGAGCTGATCATTTGAATCAGGTGTGTTGGAGCAGGGAAACATCCAAAACATGCAGGACAGTGGGCCTCGAGGACTGGACTTGAGAACCACTGCTTTAAATGATCTTGTTCTAAAATTGTCAAACATCACTTCTGAAGAATAAAAATGTTGCAATGCCCTTTTTCAGTATCATTAAGGATCAGTTCGGTCACAAAGTAAAAGTCAGTCTGAGTGGATGCTCCTCACCCTCTTTTAACTTTAGTGAAGTCGAAAGCCACTTGTCTGTAGGACACAGCCTTCTCATTCAGGTAGCGGCTGTACCTCCTTATGAAGGTTGACATATCGTAGCCTGCGTCACAAACAACAACACAACAAAAAAGGGACAGAAATGTTAAATCACACATGAATTCTCAGTCTCTAAAGGCTGATTACTGCATCATGTGAACACTGCTGGTGCATACCTTGGAGACCACTCTTGTCCAGAAAGTTGCTGAGGTTGAATAGCGTGTTTCTTGAAGCCAGGTACTGTATAAATCTCTGCAAGCAAAAAACGATGACAGCAGTTCTTGTTACACCTTCAAACTGACTCCCTCTCCAGAGACATATCACGTTTAGTCTTTACCTCGCCAGGTTCATGATAAATACATTCAGCTGAACACATTTATAAATGAGCAGACTTTATCCCCATCCGATTCCTTAGGCACTCACCTCATTGCCATAGACCATCAGATGGTGTGTGGTGATGAGAGACTTGAAGACAACCACCCAGCTGGTGTTCGTGGTCCTCTCGAACAGTGTGTCAGCCAGCTGAGGGATGTTCACATTCATCTCATTTGTACACTGGATCAAGTCTGCAGGAGGACAAACGGAGAGCCCAGTACTTTTAGAGTTTGTTCTACGGTCAAAAGTGACATTTTAAGCTTGTAGCCTTCAAAGTCTCTGACCTGTTTCAGTAACAGCACACTACATGAAGGTCACTATAAACACTGATGACTCTAACTTTCGGTGAGTCAAACATATCACTCAACTTTTTGAAGTCCTTTCCTTCCATTGCCCAAAGATTTGAGGCTAATATTTTACTATAATGTGGATTTATGTCACTCCTTGTTTAGCTTGGGAGTCATTAGGGCCCGAGCCAGCTGCAGAGCAGCCGGGCGTAGAGCCCTATTATTCCTGTATAGGTTTTTCTTTCTTCTTTCTTTCTTTCTTTCTTCTTATTTTTCCTCCCCTTTGAAGGGGAAAATGGCCCACTTCCCACTGGCGAAAACTCATGAAATTTGGCAGGACGACCGGGCCTGGTGAAAAATTCGATATTCTGAAGTCGCCCAAACAATAAAATGCAAAATGGCTCCATAGCGCCCCCTAAGGTGAAAATTCACACTATTGACTGTCACGCCTGTACGCTTTGTCATATTGACACAAAAATTGACACATACGTGTATCTCAATACGGTCTACGAAAAAGTCAGCGCGGGCGCATCTGTGAAATGTACGGTTAGAGGGTTATTTCGCATTTTTTGCCGATCTGCACACATTGGAATTTCGCTAACTCCTCCGAAGGCATTCGTTCCACCGGCACCACATTTGCTCAGGCCAATCTACACCCCATGGCCATTAAAAGTTGTACAAATCATGACGCTGCACCCCACAGTTTACGTTCTAGGGGGCGCCAAAGATAACCCAAAAATCCACAGTCTTAAAAGTCTTATAACTTTTTATTTTTGTCCTCACTGGCCTCCAAGTTCTCTAGGATGATGCAATGTCCAGCCATCAACACATTTGTGAAGGAATTTTTACTCCCCAAAAGAGCGCCCCCACATGGCAGGAGAAAAAAGTCAATTTTTTCTTGTCCCCTAAGGTGAAAATACACATTGTTGAGTGTCACGCCTATACGCTTTGTCATATTGACCCAAAATTTGACAATCACGTGTATCTCAATAAGATCTACGAAAAAGTCAGTGGGCACGTATCTGTAAAATGTACGGTTAAAGGGTTATTTCGCATTTTTTCCCGATCCGCACACATTGGAATTTCGCTAACTCCTCCGAAGGCTTTAGTTCCACCGCCACCAAATTTGCTCAGGCCAATCTACACCCCATGGCCATTAAAAGTTGTACAAATCATGACGCTGCACTCCACGGTTTAGGTTCTAGGGGGCGCCAAAGATAACCCAAAAATCCACATTCTTAATAGTCTTATAACTTTTTATTTTTGTCCTCACTGGCCTCCAAGTTTTCTAGGATGATGCAATGTCCAGCCATCAACACATTTGTAAAGGAATTTTTACTCCCGAAAAGAGCGCCCCCCCATGGCAGGAGAAAAAAGTCAATTTTTTCTTGTCCCCTAAGGTGAAAAAACACATTGTTGACTGTCACGCCTATACGCTTTGTCAAAATGACACAAAATTTGACACACACGTGTATCTCAATAAGATCTACGAAAAAGTCAATGGGCACGTATCTGTAAAATGTACGGTTAAAGGGCTATTTCGCATTTTTTGCCGATTCGCACACATTGGAATGTGGCTAACTCCTCCTAAGGCCTTCGTCCCACCGACACCAAATTTGCTCAAGCCGATCTACATCCCATGGCCATTCAAAGTTGTAAAAATCATGCCGCTGCACCCCATGGTTTACGTTCTAGGGGGCGCCAAAGATGACCCAAATATCCACATTCTTAAAAGAATCCACATCCCCCACCCCAAGGCAGGAGAAAAAGTCCAGTTAACCCTGCCCATCGCTCAATGGCTCAATTGCATCACTCTCCCGGCAACACCGTAAGGAGGAGCAACTTGCCATTTGGATATATCCTAGCTGTGTTTGTGCCCTCACTCATGGTCCAGACTTTTTTCAAATAGGACATGTAGTTTGTCTGCAGCGACCGTTTTGGTAGAAACTGCGCCTCCCATTCATTATAATGGGAAATGACCACAGACAAGTGCGCACACCATCTTTGGACCTTGAGTGTGATGCGATCGGGAGGGGGAGGCGGTCACGCTGGGGGCGGCGCGACGCGGCTCGGGCCCGACAGTGCCCCACCGGGGCCCTAGTTAACTTATTAATGCTTGTGTATGCCTATGATTGCTACAGCCTCTTTTTAGTCCTGCTCACTCCGTCCTGGCGTTTCATAAACACAGGGGCACCGTCAGGAATTTTGGGCCCCATGACAAAAAAAATCAATTGAGCCCCCTCTGCGCAGAGATTGTCACCACATCTCTTTTTATTTTATTTAACCTTTATTTAACCAGGAAAAATCACATTGAGATCATGATCTCATTTACAAGAGTGACCTGGCCAAGAGGTCAGCAGCACACATCATAATAAATGCCAATACATGAAAAAAAACTAGAGCGATAAATAAGCAATAAATATAGTAATATTTATAATACGGTAGGACCGAACTGTCCCATCAAAAGTTTTACATAACTCAAATTTAAAGCTTTCAACTGTCTACCAACAATATTGTACTAGCACAATATTTACTGTTGGTGATTTATACATGCAAGTCTGCACATAGTATGTAGTTCACTATTTGTTGCCAGATCAAAAACCACTGTAAAGAGTGTGCTAAAATCCATCTTAAATTTCTATGATTTTTTCCACATCAGGGTTATTATAGTAGTAGAAAACAGGTGATCACTAAATTTATAGGTTTTGAGGTTTGAAATATGATCCTAACAAACAGTACCAGAAACAGAAAATTAAAAAAATAAATTAACATTGTATGGATAAGAACAAAGGACTCATAGTAACCAAACTTCTGGGTCAAGTCATTAAAGTCATTAAAGTCTAGCCTTCTGACCAGCAGACTTTCAGTGGCCAACATAGCAAGACTGCAAAGCCTGTCCTGAGACATCATGGACCTCAATTTTTTTTAATTAGTTTTAGCTTACTAAAGTCTCTATCCCCACTATCAACAGTTACAAGCAATGTACAAAATAAACGTAGAGCAAAGTACACTTCAAAAATGTAATGTAACTGCAGCTTGTTCATTGCATTCAGGATGCCAAGAGGGGACAAGTTAGAAGAGCATATACTGTGTTGTTCCGGTGTCTTATCTCGTTTTCAAACTCAGACATGAGATCTCTGGAATACTTCTTGAGAGGTAGTTGGCACACAGATGGGTCTTTATCCTCACTGATCTGCCCAACTTTGAAAACAGCAGAGAATTCCTCAGCTATTTTTGTAGAGGTCCAGAACCTGGTGTCCAGATCACTTGTGATGCTGTTCATAGCAGTAAAAAAAAAACACTGTGTTCCAAAAACACTGTTGCTGCATTATCCTGAGCTGTCCCATCTTCAGAGATCTTATCGTGGAATCTCTTTCTTTTCTTTTGCCAACTCCTTGCTAAACTGAGGTCTGACATCTTTGAGTGTTGCCTCAGTCAGGAGTGACTTCCATATAGGGCTGGGCGATATGGCCTCAAATCAATATCACAATATATTGAGCAGTTCACCTCAATGATAAATGGACGATAACTACTCCACAAGCTGCTCACCCCTTCCCTCATTAACTTTGTCTACTTCAGCTACCGCTCCAGCTGCCACAACTTTTGAACCGTCCTCCATCTCCTCACCTGTCTTTCCCTCTTTGTTATAGACTTGATGGGCTGGAGTCACGTCTCCGACATACGACAGCATCTTAAGGGACATGAGACCATAGCCTAACTACACACATCCAAAACCAACTTTTATTTATTTATTTTTTTGACACCGAATATATTGACATGGGCAAAATAACGTCGGTTATTGTCATGAATTTTGTATCAGTAAATTTTCGGTTTATCGCCCAGCCCTCTTTCCAACCATCTCTGAGAGCCAGCATCTCTTTTGTTAAGGCATTGATATTTGGCTACCTTTGTGTCATGGGAGATTTTTCCAGACTGCATAACCACATTCCTGTCATCAATGCACTGCAGTATTTTGAGCCAGACAGTGAGTAGGGCAATAGCATTGAATGACATGAAGTAGTTTGTCAGACCACTAGCCTCTAATCTGGTCTTGATGGTGAGACTAGGTGTAGTGAGTATACTGTCAAGGGCATCAATGACAGAAGGAAAGTGTTGTGCTATAGGTTTAATAGACAAGATTCCAGTCGGTATCTAAAAGGCGAATGCAAAGAGAAACTTGTTTTCTCTTTGAAGGTGGCCCAGCATTCTGGGCTGGCACTAAAAAGTGAGTAAAGGTGATTGACATAGCCAAAAATATTCTTCAGGGCTCGTCTGTGCAGCATGCACACCTACAAGATTTAAGGTGTGGGAGGTGCAGAGTGAAAATATAGCTTGATGATTTTTCTTAAATATCTAGGCTTGGACTCCATTGACCCCTTCTGATATGATTGCCCTGTTGTCATCACCTTGCCCTCTGCAGTCTCCAATATCTTTGCCTATTTTCAATCATCTCTGCCACTTCTGGTGTATAAACTGTAGCACTGCTGCCTGCCACTAGACAGAGCTGTAGTGGGGATTTTTCAGTATCACTCTAATATTTACTCCCCTCTGGGGAATAGCTGTTGAAAGGTGTGGGCTTTCAGGGACAGTGAGGCTCAGAAAACAAAGCAAATGCCAAAAGCAAACAATGCTGAGTTGAGATGTAATGATCAGTAAATACAACAAACCTTGTCAGGAAGTAGTGAGAGACAAGTACTGATCATGCTCAGAGCTCTGTACACAAGCATGTGAAATGTGGAGCTTTTTTTACAATTATTTTAATCACTTTATCTGGTCATTAAAAGTCAGACTACCAGTGATTTTCTTCACTGCTTGACCACAAACTCACAAAGTGAGCGTGTCTGTTTTGTGGACTGACAGGGCACACAAACATCCTTAGCCTGGCTGCCATGGCTGTGTGCCATGACCATCTGCTCTGAACTGAAAGCAAAATGCCTCCTGCTTCCTCTCTCCATGCAGACCATGAGACTGATCAATGATGCCAGAGCTCATCAGAGCTCCCGAGTATCACTAAAAACACAGAGCCCCCTCTCTCTCTGCTTCAGCACATTCTTGACTGCACTCCTTGCAATTAAAGTTTGAGTGTTTCTATGTTTTCCCTTGTCTTTTTTACAACTTCATTTGAGTTTATACTTAATGAGAATTCCTTGTTGTCTACTGCTAGACAGTTTAGTTAAATGTAATCAGACTTTGAGTTTTTTCCAAACGAAAAATCTCAGAATTTAGTCAAAAACCAAACCATACAATGTAAAATAGAAAGAACAGTTTTTATAACTGACGTAATGTGGGCTGAATAGACATTACATCTTCCTGCTGTGTTCTTGTCCAGGGTCATATCTGATCAAACCTTTGAACTATCTGGTTCGAGTTAATGGTTTACAACAAGTGTTGTGTGAAGGGTGGCTGTCACCCATTCAAGTCTGTTGACATGAGCGATCTACAAGCCTTCAGTTTCTGTTGGAAACGGCACAATAGGCCGCCCATGTGACAACAATAGCCTTTTCAGACATAACTCAAATGGCTGTGGGGTGCTGAGGCCACACACCAACTTCTATCACTGCTGTTCCTTAAGTTTGTTTTGCACACACAAGTAACCATACAGTAACTCAGCCTGAACAAAGCCTCTGAGTTTATTAGCTAGATAACCGAAATAATGCATGCAAAGGTTTGGTTCAAACAATAAGACAGCAATAACAGCCTTGAAAAGGAATTAAGTGTGGCCAGTAACAGTGAAGTCCCTTTAAAAAAGTTTATAACGTGTCTAACATCAGAAAGATAAGTTTGTCTTGTGACATGAAAGTGCGAGTTATGTAATATCATATGAGAGGGAAACTTTGTACTGAAAGACAGCAGCTCTGCTGTGAGTTGGTGCTTCTTTTTCAGGCTTTGGATCAACACAGCAGTTCAGCTCTTAAGTAAAACACCACAACCTTAAGTGAGTTATTGATACACAGCAAGCAGCATATAGTTGTAAAGAAGAGCCACCTCAAAATGAAAGAGTTATGGTAATTATCTTGGTACTTTTTATGAATTAATTAATTTATTTATTTATTCATTTCAAACATGTATGCAGAGAAATAAAATAGATAGAAAAATGCTATTTAATAAATAAAAAAACATAATAAAAATATTTCTTCAAGTGTGATGAATTATTCTTGTAATTACGCCACCCTAACAGTGACAAAGGAGGAGTTAATGTGCCCTAAGGGTGAGTTTTTTAAGAGGACAACAAACAGGCAGTCATCATGGAGAGGCATCAGCAGGCTTATAGACGTTCAGAGTGGGATGTTAAAATGAAAGACAGCAACATTAAAGAAAGCTCGCTGCCTCCCAGCTCAAAGCAGGACCAAAACATTTTCAACATCAATAGCCACCCAACTTTAGAGCCAGAGATATTTGGCTATCAGAGCCGCAGACACTGCAAAGAATCTAAAAATAAATATGTCTTGGCTAAGATGTACAACACCAAAACCTTTACCATCACTTCAAACTACATCACCTGTTTCATAACACTGAAAACAAGAAATCACAGTCCTAAACCACTGTTGGGACTGTAGTTTAGGACCACCTAAGAGCATGCAGCATAGTCCAATATCAGTGTTTTCAAATATAATGCCTGAAGAAATAAAAAGTGGAAATAACACAAAAATATGACAAATGCAATTGCATTGAAAATTATGGGAATGAAAATTATCAGAGTACTTGACCTCGGATATGAGCTGATAAATCCCCTGATTCCTTAAAATTTCATCCAGAAATTAAAATCAGCCTTTAAATTTCAGAGATAAATGGATTTGACGTTTATCATGAAAATTATAAAAACTGTCTAATAGAAAGACTTTATTGTTATAGTTATGAACATTTTTGGCAATACTGACCAGCTCTAGATAGAAAAGGATCAACATCAGTTATTGTGTCACTGTCCCCATATAGTTACATAGCTTGACAGACCCTGTACTGACATCCCAGACACTGTTCTGCACTCATGCCACAGAATCAGCTACTTTCTATACTGACCATTCATTTTGATTTACCAGGCAAACAATAAAAAGCTCTTAATAATTAGGACAAGCTGTCTGCTGGGATTTGGATCAAAAGTACTTGAAACAGCTGGCTTAGGCAGAGTCAAACATGAACTTTTAAGCTTCTCAACTTATTCAACAAATAAACAAAAACAGCCGCAGCACGAGTTCAGCTAATTATCTGAAGCACTGCTATAGTTTGTCATGTTCGTCCAAACAAAAGCTGCTGCTCAGAACTTCTGTGGTGTACAGTAAACTGTAGAGGAGTCTTCAGACGAGGTATGACTTTACTGATCTGTTTGTTGTTCTGCTGAACAAGTTTTATGACATCATTGATTTCAGATAAAGCCCAGAGTCTTCCTCCTCCTTTCATACCAGCTCTACTTTCTACCTCTGCCGCTCGGTGCTGCTGACTGGGTTGAGCTTCCTTGTGGTATTCTGAGAATGTGTCAAAGTAGCAAACGCTCCTCTCTGTTTGTGAAACAGGCATTGTGTGAAATATATTTGAAACCCATGGACTTCCTTAGAATCATATGTGAAAGCGGAAGTGAAATTGTTAAAACCGCAAAAACATTTCCTTTTCTGAGATCGTCCTCCTCACACATCTATAGAGTACTAACACAGCTGTTGGCAAACATCGAACAAGAAGCGTCCTGTCAGCAAAAATCTGAGATGAAGCGTGTCAGATTAGACAAAGAGGTTATTTCAGCCTCGTCTGTCATTATAATCACACGTTTAAATGTCACTTACAGCTGACCAACAAGCAGCCTATAGAACCCACACTCGGTCTGTGGGCTGGAATGACCTGCATACATTTCAGCTTGTGCAGACTCACTTCTGAGTTTCAGTTTAAGGCCTGTGAGCAGTTCTCACCACCACAGACGTGCAGGATTAATTCATCTGTACTCTGCATGTGCCAAATGCAGAGAGGCAACAACCCATAAATCTGGATTCATCTCAAAAAACTCTTTCTTCTTCGGCACACCCGTCTTCATGGAAATATCAAATGTAAATGTAGGAATGTGAATAAGACTCATGTACATATATTTGTCTTGAGTTAACTCAAGTTTCTTCATCCTTGAATTTTTCTTTTTCACTTGGATCTACGCTGCTGTAATTTTTGCAATTTCTAATAAAGGTATATCTTATGTCGACAGAAAAAAAAAAGTTAGCAATGTGTTATATGAGATTAAAAAAAAACATTTGAACCCACTTAACCCATGCTAACATAGCTGTAACACACTTAACCAATGAACAGAGTGAAGTTTATGTACATAGAATATTCCTACACCCTCCCTCCTGACATTGTGACAAGCTGTCATGGCTGCAATAATGAAGTTTAAATAGTCATAGCTAGGGGTGTCCCGATATGGTATTGATATCGGATATCAGTCTGATATCAGCAAAGAAACAAATATCGGATTAAATCGGCCTGCATCTAAAATCTCCAATATCAGCACTCCGATACAAGCAGTCCATTCCAGACTTCACATGAGCGCCTCTATTGAGCAGTGCCCGGATCCAGCAAACTGAGCCCGCAAACTCAAAACAACAGGGTGCACTAAGGTACGAACAAAGTAGCAAGGAGTAGGAGTGATGTTGACCATGTGGCAGTATTTTTTAGATAAGTCCAAAAAAGACATTGCAGCTGAGTGAAAAACTTGTCATGCGCAAGTTTGTGCTGATATCGGATCAATTCAATATCGGTCAATATTGAAGGCTAAAATATCGGTATCGTACCGGAAGTCAAAAAGTTGTATCAGGACACCCCTAGTCATAGCTGATTCACACTCAATCTAAATTTGCAACAACATTAAACTAATGAGATGACAGACCATTATAAATTTCACACCCAGAGCAGCACTGATGGAACACTGATTGGGATTATACTCCTGCATCAGAGCTGCGCCATAGCTTACATGGTAGGCTGCATCATCCTACACCTATGCAAAAGCCTGCATACATGGCCTGATATGCACCTCCTCAAAAATGTATCCACGCAGTCTAAACGTTGTGTGGTTGGTCAGATTGGCAGCAGACATTCCCAGTATTGCTGCAGTGTTTCCCCTTCCTTTGCCTACAATGATTCAGTGGCTGCACATTCTTTGGGCATTTCCTCTCTTTCCTTGTTTACAATAACTGCAATATGATCAACAACTGCTGAACCATGACCTCACATTCAGTCGCCATGGTTTCCTGTGCGCAACCAATCAGTCTAGTGAACCATACAGTCCTCATCACAACAATCGCTGGTTTGACTCCTGGTCAAGTCCCTTTTCCCACTCTCTACCCCCCACATTTTCTGTCTCTCTTCAGCTGTTCCATCAATAAAGACAAACAAAATCGAAAACATCAATAGATATAAAATAGCTAGAATTCACAGAAGCAGAGTAATGCAGAGCTTTGCAGACATTCAACCGTGCAAGTATGTGGGTAGCTACAGTGTCGAGTCAGTGCAGGAGCATGAACCAGGCTTTATCAGTAGGGATGAGGACCAAACACTGGGTGGGTATTAGGGACTCGCGTCTTTCAAAAAAATGAAAATCATTTGAGCTCATCAATTCCCTTACACCTTGCCTGTCCAATTATGATGCATTAAATCGTGAAACAATTCATGCCATTCAAATCAAAGTGATGCTCACAAATAAACAGAGATTGTCCACTAACCTTTCTAAAAAAACAGGCAATTTAACGTGCACCGAAGTCTAAAGTTTGGATTTGGGAAGAAACTTCACCGACAAGGTTTTTTTTTTAAGAAGGAATTGTTTTTGTTTTTTTCACATCTTCACATTACAGATGGAATTAGAACTGGTTTATCTCTGTAACACAAGCTCAAATCAGCAGAAATAAAGCATCTAAGCACACAACACTCCCAGATTTTAGAAAGGTTTGTGCACTTGGAGGATTTCACGAGGGTAGCAGGAGAGGGTGGCAACAATAAGATGGAGCTAATAAAAAATATACTGAAAACATGACAGAGGAAGTCATGAGTCAAGTGTTTTGTAAAGTGGACACGAGAGGAAGTGCAGTGGATTCCCAGTATCACAGAAAAAACACTTCTCTATTTCAGCTGTTAGTGCTGACCTACCGCATATGACAAGTTGTGACCTCACAGACATCTCACAAAAAACAGCATTTCTCTGCGTCACCGGTTCTCTTCATTACAATCAATCTAATCAAATAAAACAGAGATGAAACTGCTTCACACAATGTTCATTGGTCAATGATAATGTTGACAATAATCAATATGCAAATGTTTCAAGAATTAGTACAGAGGACGACATAAAAAGTAGCTTAATTGTGGCAAGATCTCTGTTTATAAATGCTGATTGGACAAAATAGTTTGCTCTGTCAGGACAAACAAGTCAAACAACTATTAGCGATCCTATCAAAAGACTATCTAAACACCTGCTGGCAGCAAGCATCAAAAAAATTAGAGCTTTATTACAACCTGCGGCCTGAATGCTGGGAAGGCAGAAAAGGAGACAATCTGGAGACACATTTCTGATAACAAGACTGAGTGTGTTGTTCCCGGTGAGTATGTGCACCCTATGGATACAAGGTTGGAGGAGAAACTTGCTCATTTCAAAGGACACCTGATAAAAGCACCCTGCAGTGTCTGTCTAAAACTAAAACAATGATGCATGATAATCAGATGACATGAACACATGACAGCTTTCTAAATTCAATGTTCACAACACCCAGAGATCTTTGCAGAATAAGGTCACTGTTGATTTTGCTGCGTTCAAGTTACCTTGGAAGTCAGAAGTTAGAAGCTGAAAACGACATCACATCCGAGTTACCAGCGTTTCAGTTACCAAGTCAGAAAAAAGCATCATCGGAGGCGGACGCAAGATCACTACATCTACAGAGGTAATTTTAGCACTAGCCTTGTCCAAATATAAGGCAAGCGCCAAAATAACTTTCTTACATGTAGCCATCTTGTTTAATTTTTTTCCGACTTGGTAACTGAAACGCTGGTAACTCGGATGTGATGCCATTTTCAGCTCCAACATCTGACTTCCGAGGTAATTTGAACACAGCATTTGTGCTGAAGAAGCTTGTTTTTGACAAGGTAGCACAATTCAACAGAACACCTGTCAGTAATTAGCATACCATGCTGCATAAACGCATCATTATCTCTAATAAGGCAGGGCGACCTTATGGTAGATGTCTATCCACATCTTCTAAAATATGATTTATGATTTCCTGAGACTCATGCACAGACCCTTAATTTTGTTCAGGGATTTTATTCTTGAATTACTGTAATCTATTTCATTATGACCAATTTTTGAATTTATATTGAGATTTTGAGGCCATATCACTCACCGCTAATAGCAGCAATAGGTTACCAACAGATGATACCAGCTAGTGGGATATGTACTGACTGCCTGCTCTTACGCTTGACACGTGTCAACAAGGTGAGCTAATCAAGACAAAACAGCAGCAGCAGTTTCATGCATTCAAAATCTGTGCTAAGAGTCTTTTTGTAGCTCGACAGAGACACTGATTTAAGTTGAATCTATTTTAACAACAGCTAAAAAATAAAAAACAGGTGCTTCAACTTTTCCTTTTGGCAGCTTTGTTATGTGTGTAACTCCTTTTGGTTTACACATTAAGGGTTTTCAGTTACATGCATCTCCATTTAAGGAATCCTAAAATAGCAGGATTGAGGAATTTCTGGGTTGTCGAGGGAATTCCGGCGGTCATGCGGAGCGGCTGGAGTCTTATATAATTGTAATTAACAGCATAATCACAGAGAGATGCATCAAAAGTATCCCAGCCAATCTCTCATGTGATCAGCTCAGTTCCCATGTGCAGTAGGAAGGGGTTGGGTCGTGCAATGACTTCCTATGGACAAATTTGCTCTTCGTCATCTAAGGCTTGCTCCATGAACAAGAGCAACACTTCCTGCTTCAGGAAATGTCTAAATTAGGTAAACTCACAGGGAAATCTGAAACTTTCACCACATTGTGAAAATTCAGAGTTTTCCACTGGCTTACTGTAGAGCTACTGGAAGCAGGCTTTAGATGTGTACCCCAGTATAAGACCACTACCTGTTATTGTTATTTTTAATGAAGGATTGTAAGCATAAAGGAGTACTGCATAAAACAGACAAACTTAAGTCTGACACCGATTGTCTAGAATCATTCGACAGTAGGGTGTCACCTGTTGACAAGACCTCTCAGCTTCAGTGCTGTGAGCTCTGGTTGATTAAAGGAGAAGGCATATCATTGGAATCTAGTCCGGGCCGTGCTATTGAATCTCACGGACCTTTCAGCGTCACAGAGGGCTCCATTCAGCTCAGTTGGTAGACCGGGTGTCAGCACTCTTTTTAAGGGCTGTCACTTGATGCCCCTGCAGTCACATGCTCCTTGGGCAGCACTACATTAAGGGTAGGAGGGTGAAGCCATGGGGGAGGGTTCAAATGTACAGACAAGGTATTATGGCTCCATATTCTGATACGTTTTATGATTCTGGGGGGGATTCTAAGGATGCAAAAGCATAAGGTCTTATGGAGTTGGATTTTATTATTTCAAGTTTTCTAAATTCTGTATTTTATGGTGCAATCACATCCGTTTGTCACATGACGTGTTTAATGAAGTACAATTTTGTAAATTACAACCAAATATTAACTGTAGCTCTCTAAGTGCTAGCTAGCTAACTGGCTCTCTCATTAATTATGATGCTCAGGATGCTGCAACCACTTATTTTACATTTCATTAAATACCTATTTTTGTTGAAGGGTTTGTTGTTTGAGTAAATGCGCTTTCTCTGAAACTTACAAATGAATGATCACAAACAACTTGCATTTATTCACCTCGTTTTCCTTCAACTGTCTTACCCCTGAGGTTGCTGTTGGGCTATCTAGAGTCTTTTTCACTGGCTGCTCTGTCCAGTGGTTTAAAAAGGTGATGCAGAGATGCTGCTCTGGATGGGGCCGAGCTGGTCACCTGGGTAACCAGGAAAATATGTGCTTGTCAGATGATAATCACAGAGATAGAAAAGCACAATTTCAGACCAACTTTTGTGCAACATTGAAAATATTATTGATAAAGTATTATAAAGCTTTTTTTTTCGGAAAGGTAGCAACTTGTGCGTTTAGAAATAAATAATTTAATAGCTTATTGATAACTTACGGTAGCAATCTAATAGAGAATTTCTCCCTCTTAAAGCTGCATATATTCTCAATCTACATTGCACAGCAGCTATGTAAGCACCTCTGAGACATGTCTCAGCAGAGGATGACAGATTAGATCCTGTTTACATCTGGTATTAACGTGTATTCCGGGTGATGGTATCATAAGTAGACAGCCTTAAAAAAAAAATAAATAAATAAATAACCTCCAATGTGTCCTGAGCACAGTTTGAGATCGGATCACTCAGGCCACATGTGGAGGTGGTCTGGGACACGTGTCCACAGTGGTATGGCAGAGTGTCTGCTCATGTATCCTGGGCCACCTTGAGCACTGTTGACCGTCCACACATACAGGGCGATGATTACACGGAGCAACAGACCACCTGCTTCTCATATGATACTGAGCTTATGTTTTTTTCTGCTGAATCGGGAGAAAATCTCTATTTTTAGTTCTGTCCTGTCATTCAGGCATGTGGAGACAATGAATGTCAGGTGTGCAGAAAACAAAGAATAGGTGAAATAAAGAGTAAGTAGCAGCCTGTGCTTCCCACACGCAGACTGACCACTCAGGTGTATTTTTTTGGTCACCCAAGTGTAATGCCAACCATTATATCCTAAAACAGAAGTGATGACATGGTATATTGAGATAAATTGTGATACTTTTCATAAGCTGTGTATTGCAATAATTCCTAGAAGAGTCTACTTTTAGAAAAACACTATTTTAAATACATAAACAAATACTGGTTTAATTTTAAGCTCACTCAAAACAGCCGGACATGCATTTATAGTCCACGCTTCCTATTACATGTCAAAGTGACTCTCTGCTGAGGTGAGGGTCCGGCACCCCCGCTTTGACTGCTGTGTACAACTGAAGCAAGGCTATATCAGTGCTGTGTTGTATAGGGGTGGGAATCACCAGTGGCCCCACAATACGATATTATCACGATACTTGGGCCACGATACGATAACATTGCGATTTTTAACATTTTGCAATACAGTGAGTATTGCGATACAATATATTGCGATCTATACAATTTTTTGAACTGTTCGGATAATTTAGCATTTGTCTTTCCCTTATGTTTGTCTTATCTACACAGTATTTTATTTTCATGTAACACATCTTGCAAACCTCATGTGTCAGGTTCATCTCATTGGTGCCCTGTTTGCATTTTTAATGGCTTTCCCCAGATGCTGCTATATTTGTTGTGCTAACTTTCTCCTGCTCTATGATGTCACCTCTGCCAACCTCACTGGACAAACAGTGATTTTATTTTTCCATTATCATAGATTTGACTTCATATTAACAATTGATTTGAAAAAAAATTATACTTTGTCAATGAGACGATACGATATATCATCAGACAAAATGTAGTGATACTATGCTGTATCGATTTTTTCTCCCACCCCTATTGTTGTTAGAGAGGTGTATTGTAATAGGACCTCAATGTTTTAACCGTTTACAAAAACCATAATAAGATTAATTTTCCTTTGTCAGAAACTTGGAGACATCAAGTCTAAAGGGCAGCATCAACAGTTCCGACTTGTTGACCTGCCTCAAAGTTTAAAAGGTAATTTAAGGATTGATGTAAGAAAATAAAAAAGCCTAAAATACCAGAATAATGCAGGGTCTGAAATCAAGCATCGAATGTGGGCAGATCCTAAGTTTGGCAAATGAATTCCAAAGATTTAATCATCAAACGCTGGTAAATATTTACACCAAAAAAGCCTACTCATTAAAAATGGATGCACAGAGTATATTACCCTGTGCTGCTGCTTAGCTGTCTGCATGATGGCGCTACACAGGGATACACACAAACGTATACACAGGGACACACACAAACACTTTGTGTTATTACACAACATATTTTGTTTTAATATTTCAAACAGATATTTCAAATAACTTTATTTCAGCCCCTGACTTTACCTCATATCCACCTTAAGCTCAGCACCTACTTAACCATCAGTATAGAGACAGAAAAGCAATAGACGGAGTCAACATGTTTCTGCTACTATCTGAGGTCAACAGTCACTGCTGATGTCACACACTCAGTGTGTCAGAGCAGACCTTTGAGCGCTTTAACAGCAGTGTGTTGTGATCTTTCCATGATAGCAATTAACCTGGACTACTAAGACTTCACTTACGTTCCATAGACCATAACTTTCAGTCAAGAAAAAGTGTACACAATAAGCATTCCTGGAATTTTAAAGACCACATTACAACCTGCACTTTTACAAACACTAAAAACCACACTGAGAGAAGTGTCCTGAAGTTTCCTCTTCACAGTGGAACATTTAAGCAAAGCAAAGCAGTTCGGAAAGCTTGAATTGTTCAACCTTCCCTCAGCGGTGTTTGATAACTGCAGGGTCTTGTGAAGTTATGTCACTTAAGTTTATCTAGCAGGCCGGTGTTGAAGAATGCGGACAGTAGTGCAGTGTAAGCTTAGTGGTAGCCCTAGAGGGGGCCACCATCTGCATTCCTAATTGGAGGGACACAGGGAAGTTTGCTGGACACATTAGGGCTGGTCAAAAACTCCAAACACAAGTGCACCCTTCAGCCCTCTTTAAATACCTCAACTTAAGTGAAACCCTGCAGGCCGGTGGATCTCTGGGCTATCTAAGGTAAAGACCAGTTCAGGCGCCCCACATTGGGACCATATATGACCCTATCGTTTGAGATCAGGAAGTTCACTAGAACATGACCTCATTACTTTGTACTGTTTGAGCTGATGGAAAAACGGATAAGATACAAAATCATGTTTGGCTTTAATTGCTCAAACAAGGCCAAAAGACAGGGTTGCAGGTTATATGCAACAGGCTATATGGTTTGTTTCTGGGTCAGTTAATACCACAGATAAGAAAAATGTGATCCAGGCGGCATACTCTCTACTCTACTTTCATTACAATTCTGGATAGAGATGTGTAATATGTATGAGGGGGACTGGCATGTTGCTCTAGCAACTGGTGACGTGCTGCAAAACTTCTGGCATCAGCTGAGGAACTAGCAACATTCCCCTACAAATCATATCTTTTGCCTCAAAACCACATGCATATGGCAATCCTTCTTGGTGGCTTGCCATAGGCCACTTCCTCAATCTCTGTGCGACCGCAGAGATAGGACTGTCAAGGGGCTCAGCGAATGAAAAGGCAACTAAATGTAGTGCACCAGCGTTTGTTTTATTATCCAGCTAAATGCTTGCTTCTGATTGGTCAATACTTCTTAGCAATAATGTGTCATTTTTCGACAGAGAAGCGTTGCCAAGTACAATCTGATCATAGTCACACTTTACCTTGACCTGTTGACACTGTGGCAAAATTACCAATTTCTTCTAAGTAATGCAGCTCATATATTCCAAACAAGCTGCTCCTTCCTCTCTGTGTCACCTGGCACCATTTCCAAAATCCTCCAAAAGTTTAAAATGTCAAGATCAAGCAATAAAACATCTCCAAATGTATTAAACACAAAAGCTGCGCATGTAGGTGAAAGATCTTCTCATTAAAAGCACCTCAGCGTCAAAATAACCTATCAGGTGATGGTAGCTCTGGTCTGACCCTGCTGAATATTAATTTGCCGGTATCCTGAGATAAAGCTGTCTGTCAAAGTCCGAAAGCTCACGGCATCTTCCTGAAGTGAGCAGCAGTGCTGTCTGACACAGTTTTCTAAGATCAAGGCTATGTCAGCGTTGAAGCACACTTTCAGAAAGAGCTAAAACAAACACAGCTCACATATTTACACCTGCAGCAAGATGCATCCTGAGAAAAAACTTATAGCGTCATACAGAGGGCTGCTTTTAGAAACCACAGTACAGAAATAAAACTCAGTAAAACAATTATTTTAACTGAAAAACCCAGTTAAAGAACTGGTCTGTGCCAAGACGTCCCCACTTCACTATGCAAAAGCATAACCAAATTCTGTAATAAAACCAACAGCAACAGGGTGCTGGAGGTTTGATCCAGGGTGAAGTTACTGAATACATCTATTTCATTTTCTGACCCAATGGATGTGCAGAGGCTTGTGTTTACGAGTGATTACATTGACTTTATGAGTAAAAATGTCTGCAAATATGGCAAGCAAAATTTTCTTAATATGTTTCTTCAAAAAGATGAAAAACCTATTTTAAGGAACTTACTTAAAAAGTTTGGCTTGAAATACCTAGAAATCAGATCCATGATTGCACCTTGGACGTCTGCATTGGTTAATCAAGTGTGATAAGATAGTGTCACTAGAATTAGGACATATTTATTTGGCAGTGTAGATATCATCCAATCAGTGGGCAATTTATTGAAATTTTGTGTGTTTTCAGGGGTGTGAAAACTTTCTTACATTTACTCAAGCTATTGTCACTGGGTAGCCTTTGTGTTACACCTGTGCTCCACTGACCTGACCAGTCAAAACACAAATCTTCTTTCTGGATATTTAGAGGCAAAATTATTTTAAAAGTTACTTGAAAACAAATTTTACTCCCGGAAAATTAAGAACTCTTGCAGCATTTGCAACCAGTAAAAAAAAATCTATCAAGCAAACATTGTACCTACATCCCAATAATATGAAATCCAAATTCTGGCTTGTTATAAAAGCTTTTCTACACAATCAGTCATGACTTAAGTGTAACCGTGTAAGAAATATTCAACTATTTCACCCTAAATAATGTGCAGATTCAAAATCACTGCAAACATTAATTCTGTTAGTTACACTACAACGATAAGTTTGGGAAAAACACTTTAGTAAACACTTTGGTACAAGTAAGTATTCAGTGCTTTTAGCAAACAGATTTAAAGTTTTACTTCAGCTTAAAAATATGATCAAAGAAACTTTACTTCAACTTAGGGCTGGGCGATATAACAAAAACAACATTTATATCAAAAATTAATTTCCCTCAAAAGGAGAGTTCCTCTGGGTCCGCTTCGCACTGAACCAATCATGTGCTGAATTAGAACCAAGTAGCAAACAACTGTGTAGTAGCAGGCTGCAGATACACACAACCACAACAGTTTAACACATGAAGCTGACAGCACTGTTGGTGAGAAGAAGAAAATGAGTGCTACCCCTGGCAGAAACGCAGATGAAGGCTCAAATGATGAAACCACCGTCAACAACACTGGCACGAAAACATCGGTGGTGTGGAGGTATTTTAGTTTTTTGAGGTCAGACATGAAGCAGAGTAATGTGAACTGAAAATGATATCAGTACATGTTCCCACAAATACCTCGAATCCTTTTCACCACCTGAAGTAGTGCCATGCAGCAGTGTACGCGCAATGCAAAATGTTAAAACCCCCATTGTAACCCACCCATGGCGCCTGTGCAGCCAAAACAGTCAACCATTCAGTCCGCTTTTTCTAGCGCAATGCCTCACGACAAATCGTCAACGAGATACAAAAACCGCACAGATGCAGTAGCTTATTGTATTGCAGAAGACATGCTGCCAATAAGCACTGTTAAATTTCATTTTTTATGTCGTGATATCTATCAATATCACCTGATACAGAAAAAATATATTGTGATAAACTTTTTTCCATATCGCCCAGCCCTACTTCAACTTTAATAGAATAACTCAGCACTACCCCCTCTTAAGTTTACCCTGTAACAGGTAAGTTATTGAAATGCTGCCAGGTACAATAATTCCCAACAGGAAATGGTTTAGCAACAGTAAAAGCACAGATTTTAATCCCAAAACAGGAACACACACACAAAGAAACCTCCTCAAATACAGGAGTGAATGAGTGAATGTGATTAGTTAGTGTCTATCCCTGCTGACAGAGCAGCCGTCTAGAGCGCCTGCCACTCATTCAAACAGTGTACCGTGTATTTAAATGCTGATATTGAGTATATATTAGTGGACTGGGGCTGAATAACATAACGTTATTGTTACACGTCATGTTGACGTCACGTGCAGGCCTCAGCGCCGCATTCATAGAGGTTTGTACTCCGACCTCAACTAACAATAAAACAAAGACAAATCAACAGTAACCAAGAGATAGTTCACAGTGGGAATACTCACAGTCCAAATGTTTCTTTTTTGGTCCCATTATTTCGTGCGTGGTCGCTTTGCACACCGTTTTTGAAATCGCCGAGCCGGTGACACTGTGCTGAGCGGCGGTTATCCTGTCCGTTATACTCTGTCCAGACATCCCTGATCGGTTCACACAAAACAGTCACCGAGAGAGAGAAAGAAAGAGAGAGAGGAAACGATCCCAAACCCAGAGGTCAAGCCGTGGTTTTCTGGACGGTGTCGGAATTCAAAGGCTCGGTGCCACCTGACAATACTGGAGACAGACAGACACAGAGAGAAAGAGGAACATATAATGAGACGATAGCACTTCGGTTGTATGCTAACACAGCGGGTTAGCAAACTAAAGAGAGATCGTTTTACAAATATAGCTTAAATTAAAGGTAGGGATTCTACCTTTAGATTTTCAGTAAGAGTCAGACACATCTACAACAGAAAGATACTAACCCAGTCTTTTAATCGATCCCTTAAAGGTTCAGTCTCGTCTCCTCTTCCCGTACAAGGCTGTTTCACATACCGTAAAAAGCTGCACATGGACTGACCCATTAGAGGAGTCTTTCCGGGGAAACCGCTTCACAATAAAAGACAAACTCAAGTCGAAGGTAACCGACATTAGACAAATGCCCTTTAACCCCAGTTTATTGAGTTTATAACGCAATATAAATTAACTATTAATAAGTCGGTGCATTCCAAGAAAGCATAGGTCAATATTCAAACTGGCCTCAACATGGTTTATTTTGACATGAGGCCGAAGACGAGGGAGGCAAAGGTTAACTGAAAAATAAATACATTGTACAAGTAAAGCACAAAACAGGACATGGAATTTATTAATAACAAACATTTAAGTCATTGAAAATGGGCACCATTCGTTTACTTAACCTTTCATCATTAGTTTCTACATTCCGCTCATCGGTCACACTTACGTGCTGTCTGTTGAAAGTGTTGTATGCTGCTACAGTTTGTTACCGTGTAAAAAGAAAGCTTAGGAAAACAACGCCCTGTAATAGGTTAAAGTAGCTGATTGACTCATGTGTACATCTACGTTATCAATTGCTCTGACTTTAACTGAGTTGAGTAATACTCTTCCACTTCGACATTCGAGTTTTCATCTGAGAATGCGAGTGATCAAGCCCTTGTTTTGAAGTCCACTATTCCATTTCCGGTAATAACACTGTTGGCTATATCAGACTTAACCATTACTCTGGTCGTCGCTCTCTGTGGTTCCCACGCATAGCGTCTTCTAGTTTTTTTTTTTTTTTTTCAGACCCCCCCCCCCCTCCCCCCTCCTCACTGGTCTTGAATCATTATTTAAATGGACTCAGGCTCTGGATGAAAATGGCTGGCTTGTCCTTACTTTAAGGCACATTTCAAACAAAAGTTCCACGAACTTCTTCTTTAGGAACTAAATGGTTCCTGTAGTCCATTGTTGTCTGCAGTTTGACCGTGGCCTCAAATGCCATGAAGGTTATGTCAATAAGGCCATTAACACAGAGAGACATGAGGACAGTTAGTCTAAAAATCAGGTCACTAGAGCCTCTCCTTTTTGAAGTCTCTGTTTGACCTCCAGTCTCTGTATCAGAAAACTCATATTGGCAGCAGGTTTGCTGTAGTACTTCTTAAATCACCTAGGGTTCTGTGTGTGTGTGAAGTTTAAGCACCCAGCTTTCATGTAAATAAGATTTTTTCCTGAAAAGACACACTCCTGGAACTGTTTCAACGCCTTAAAGTGATGCCAAAATGGAGCGAACACAGCTTCACTAAATGGGGTCATTTTCATTAAGGTTCATGTATATTTTACTGATCAAATAGTGTTAGCCACCACAGCATATTACTGTATGATCTCTCCCTGTCTCTCCTCTCTGTCTGTCTGTCTCTCCTGTCTGTCCATCCATCCATCCATCATTCTGTCTGTCTGTCTGTCTGTCTGTCTGTCTGTCTGTCTGTCTGTCTGTCTGTACATGCAGCTGCTTGTAGCTAAAATGTAAAATAATGGGACATTTTCTGTTCAAATTACCTGGCCTTTAAGTAAGTCTGTCTCCAGAGTAGGGACTCTTTAAGGGGTGGAATAGTTAATTCTGGATGTAGTTTAGACCCTGGACCCTGCTACCAAAATCCACAGAGTTCCAATAAAGTTCCTGCTGTTGTAAAGCACCTTTTGTCAACTTTTGCACTTAGAGCAGGTTTAGATAACAGTCTTTCTTTGCTTTGGTCCAGCTCAGCTCTGCACCTCTCTGAGAATAGCATGTCTCTCATGGCCTGTGTGCTCTATCAGAAGCAAATTGATTTTGATGTCATTGGCATGTTTTTACTTTTTGCTGACAATAGAAGAAATTATTGGTATATATCAACTATCTATTGACATTCAAAGATTATTTTTGCTATACTGTCCATGGGTCTTGATTTCAGTCAGTAGAACATTTAAATTGGGTGCTGATAGCTCGGAACAAACAGGCTGTCCCATCCCACCATCACTTTATTAGGTGTATGTTTGAGGGCATCTAGTGGTCATTACCTGTCATTAGAGGCCTGGGTTTTTTCATATTTGTTACCATGTAAGGTCATCTGAAAACCTGTCTTGTGGCACTAAAAAGTCAGCCACCAATTCTTGATTATTGTATAATCTTATGGGGTACACTGAATTATTGTCATTTTAACCTGGGAGAAGTACATTTTATTTAATTGTATTTTATCATATTTATTTCTTTATTTCTTTATTCATTTTTTCAGATAAAAGAAACAACCCAAGTCCCCAAAACTGGGCAAGGCAAGGCAATTTAAAGTGTTCAAAACATTTAAAGACTCATGACAAAGGTCCAAAAATACATGTTGAAAGAAAGACATTTCAAAATCATTTGAAAAAAGACCTTCAAAAGTCCTTGAAACAGGTAAGAATCAAGGGAAAGAGAAAAGAAAAAAAACAGCAGATTAAATTATATCACGACAGCCTAAAATAAAAGCATGAAAGTGACAGTGTGGTCGATTCTGCTGGAAGAGGACCACAAAGAATATAGTAAAAGAAAAAAGAACTACAGTACTCCACTCTAGCCTACCGTACTCTAAATTATTTATGGGAACTCTGAGATTAAGGTCACAATTCAGACTTTTTCTTTTGAAATTCTGGTTTAAGAGTTGTTATTGAGTCTAACTTTGAGCTCAGAGTTCAGACTTTATTCTGAAAATCGGACTCTATTCTTAGAATTCCGAATTTTTCTCAGAATTCTAAAAGCTTTGTTGGATTTCTGATATTAATCTCCAAAGTCTGAGAGAGATGTACAAGAACAAAATTGGAGGTAAAAGAAAAAACAACTTTTTATTAGTTTATTAGTTTTTCTAATCCTCTTCTGCAGCAGTAATGACTTTGTGTACACATTTATTTGTTTCTGTTAAGAGACTCTGCCTGGTCAGGTCAGCATCAGAATATTCCCTACGGTCTATTGAGACATGGGGTCCCCTAGTCCTGTGAAGCTGTCTTGTGGTATAGGGCTGCATTCTAGCAGCATATGCAGGTGCAGTTTAAAAAACGATCCATCCATCCATTTTCCAACGCTTTTCCCATTGGGGGTTGAGGAGAGGGCTGGAGCCCATCCCAGCATTTTGGGGCGAAGGCAGGGGACACCCTGGACAAGTCGCCAGTTCATTGCAGGGCTGACATATAGAGACCAACAACCATCCACACTCTCATTCACAAAGAAAGTGACCAATTGACCTAACCCCACTTCTGCATGTTTTTGGGATGTGGGAGGAAACTGGAGTAAAACTCCACACAGAAACGCCCTGACCCAGATTCGAGCCCAGGTCCGAGGCGAGAGTGCTTACCACTACACCACAGTGCTCATAAACTAGAAAGTTCATTTTTTTCAAATTTTAAGAAAATAAGACTTATATTTATTCTAAATTCATCACACACATAGAAATTATTTTAGGACTTTTTTCTTTAAATCACCATTATTACGACTTACAATAAAATGCTGTAATATCAACTCATTGCTGTGGTCTATAACAGGCTTGGCTCAGTTTCAAACATAAGGAATTTAAGGACAGTTCAACTGGTTCAGGTTGGACAGGGGTCAAGATGTGTCAGGCTGATAGTTCCCAAATTCAAAACAATATGAGGCCTTCCCTCTGCATGACTAGCAGTTTTAATGAAGCCAGTGTTCATGACTTTCTTTTTCAACTCAAAACAATGAATGAGCCACGTGGAAACACATAGGTAACACACTGCTCGTTCAGTATGTGCTCTGTATGCACAGGTTTTACTGTAGGAGCAAAAGAGGATGGAATAAGTTCCAGCGAATCATACAAAAAGTGAGTTGAAACACTCTTCAGTCTGGTGTGAGCATGAATTTACCCAGTTGTTAGGTATTTTACTTTGTAACTAAGCTGAACACAAAAAAAGCACTAATGAACAGGATTATATTTTAATAAGGATAACTCTGCCAACTAAAAACCGCCTGCTGACCCAATTTGAGTCCTGACCCTAAGTTTGAGAAAGACTTTGTAATCTTTTCAGATATTTTCAACAGTTTGATTACACAGAACAAACTATTAACACAGACATGAACTTCTGTCTTTTGCTGTAAGTTAAATTCAGCATTTTTTTAAACACTAGCTACAGTATATCGCTCAGGCACAGAATGTATACTCCTCTGTCATTTCTATTTGTAGTGTATATAATGCTTATGTCAACAGGAGAGAATAAGCTTATACAGGGATACTCTCTGAGGGACCCTGGAAATGATGCAAAGACTCGGCTATTTGTATGGCTGCCAAGTGATGACATTTCAGCCCACAAAGGCCGAGAGGCTTGGCCTTTCATTTAGTCAAAGAAACAAAATTATTTGTGTGCCAATCAAACTGCTAAAGAAGGCTCAGTGTGACAGCACCCGGTCAGGATTGATTTCACCGCAGATAAAGGATCCTCAGATCTTTCTTTGCTCAGAGAGACTTCATCGCTGGATTTGTCAGAGTTTGAACCAGATACAGGAATTTTGAAAAACATCCTTGTTTTAGCTGGACTCCCTCTATGACCTATTTAATGTGGTATTTGAGGCCAATTGACAAAAGATACAGTTTGGATTATCTGTATAACTCACAAATGTGATTCTTTTGAGCAGGATAACACTGGGATCTAAGTCTGTCTTTGACTGGAGATCAGAGTAGAGTATGTGATCTAGCATTTTTAAATTAAAAGATAGATCACACTGCAGTCCTCATTGATACTTTTTCTGCTCAATTCAGAAATATTTATTCTCTTACAGTTTCTGCTTAAAAAAGAGAGCATAGGCTACGTCTGTTGAGCATGAGGATTCATTTTATTAAAACTGCGTGGGTCAAATTTTAAACCAGGACTTCAACTGAAGTTTGACCCCATCCCCCACCCTCTTTTCTTTAATTTTCAAAATTCATGTCACCTCTTGCAGTTGTCAGGTTTAAACTCCTCTAAATGGCATTTATTTGGCATGGCATTTTTTTAAAATAAAAGTTGTCAACTAAAAAAGCTGTCTGATATGACAGTGTATTAATATAAGCTAAAACTTTC